TACTTTAAATAATAATAGAGTCCTGGAGTCAGAATCAGAATCAGAAATACTTTAATAATTTCCTATATATTTTTATACTTAATTCTTATATACAATTTAATAATTTAAAAATACTTTCAAAATACTTTAAATAATAATAAAAAAGTCCTGGAGTCCTGGAGTCAGAATCAGAAATTCTTTAATAATTTCCTATATATTTTTATACTTAATTTTTATATATAATTTGATACTTTAAAAATACTTTAAATAATAAAAATAAAAAGTCCTGGAGTCCTGGAGTCCCCCCAAGCCAATCTGCCTGGCAACACGTGGGATTATGCAGCAGTAACCGGATCATTGGGTGGTTGTGTGTCCTCTGTGTGCAGGGGTTCTGTGGCTGTGCGTGGTGGGGGAGAGTCTGTACGTCGGCCTGCTGCTCACCGGCGGCGTGATGATGATGGTGGAGCAGTGCCCCTGCTTCAGCCTCATGAACAAGATGAAGATCAGTGCCTTCGCCGCCATGTGCACCGCCCTCTCAGGTGACCAGCCCCGAAATCCAATTAAATCCATCCATCCATCCATTATCCTGACCCCTTATTCCCTAATTGTCAGGGAGGTGGATCTTGATGGAGGACTCAGGCGCGGGGATGCAGAAAACAGGGTTTATTGTAACAAAAAACAGGTTAAAAAACAGGGCTGTGGCAAAACTATGAGCAAAGTAACAAAGCAAGGTTAACAAAACTGTGGCAAAGCATCAAAACAAGACTGTGGCAAAAGTACAAACGAGATTAACATGGCTGTGTTCAAACAAGGCTATGGCAAAGTTACAAAATAAAGATTAACAAAACTGTGGCAAGGCTGTGGCAAAACATGGCTATGGGAAATAAACAAAACCTTACAGGACATGGGGAAACAAGGACTATTTAAACACATGAGGGAGGGGAACCCCAGGTGAACACAATAGGTGATCAAGACATGACGAGACACCAGACATTCCCCCAGACGGGGAGAACTGGAGCCTATCTCAGTAGCCAATGGGGAGAGGCGGGGTCACCCTGGATGGTCCCCAGTCCATCACAGGGACACACAGAGACACACAAGGACCAACAACCACACACACTCACACTACCAGTTTGGAGTCCAGCCAACCTAACATGCAGGTTTTTCACGGTGGGAGGAAGCCGGAGAACCCGGAGAGAACCCACAGACACAGGAGAACATGCAGAACCACCCAGAAAGGTCCTGGTTCCCCCGGGACTACAACCCAGAACCCTCTGGTCCTGGTTCCCCCGGGGACTCTCTGCTTTTTGTCTTACACCAGGCTGTTTCCATCCAGGCGTGTAGCCCAAATGTAGTTAATCCATAGCATAAACATTTACTTTCTGTCTTCTTTCGGGCCGTTTCTGTGCGCTAGACTATAGTTTATCTACATCATGAACATCCTTCCTCAGAACTTGGTCAGACAAAAGAGGATTTTAGTGTCAGCCAGGTCCCAGTCAGAGGTTCAGAAGTCTGGAGAGGTCAGAGAATAACTTTGCCTAACTCTGAGTGTGTCTGCCCTTATATCCTCCCATATCTGGTCTTATACCAGGCTGTTTCCAGTTAACCCATAGCATAAACATTTACTTTCTGTCTTCTTTCAGGCCATTTCTATGCAGCTAGACTATAGTTTATCTACACCATTAACCTCCTTCCTCCACTTTTACGAACAGAACAGTCTGGGCACTGCATCTGTTTCCCTAAAATCGGCCGATTTGTGCACGAAAGGAGTCGCCGTTGTTCACAGAAACGCAGAAATGGCCGTTCTGGTCTGGCACGCGGCTGCGTTTGGATAGTGGATGATGGAGAGATGGAGAGGTGGAGAGATGGAGAGATGGAGAGGTGGAGCAGGGCAGCGGGTCATGATGGCGGCCAGTGGGGCCGCGCCCTCTCACGCCGCCTCGGGGGATTTGCCGGTTTGTAAAACTAATCGGATTGGAAACCGGGGCATTGGTTTTGGGCTGTGCCCAAAAACCTGCCCTGCCCAGAGGAGCAGCTCTCTCCCAGCCACAACTCCTGACTCCACCCCCCCCCCCCCCCCACCCCCACCCCCCCCCCAAACCACCCGGTTAATCCCAGGGAGAGGGCAGCTGCGGTGGGGCCAGATCCAGCCAGGATATGGCCGTTTGCTCTCACCCAGTGTGGATTAAGTCATGTTCCCCGGCCTCCAAAGCTGATATAAGCCGTCATTATGCATTAACATCGGGGTTTCCCTCCTCTTAGCCATGTAGGATCTGCTCCGAGGTTGTTTAAGATCAGGCTTCAGACTTTCCCTCTTCGATAAGTTCCCAGTCATGCAATCACTAATTTTTAATTTTGTAATGTCATTGTCTGAACGTGTGTCTCTCTGTTTTGACTGATATTGTATTATGTGATTTTGTGTTGTGTTGTCTTCCTGCGAATTAGCAACTATGCTAGAATCTGGCTCATTTACAATCTGTATGAGATTGTTCATAAATGTGCACTGTCCTGATTAAATAAATAAATAAATACATAAATAAAATAAAGCTGGTAGTTAGAGAGGGATCAGGGACCCTGAAACGCCCCACAGACCTGTTTCCGGAGGCCCAGGATGCTGGTCCAGGCTTCTGGTTCTGGTTCTGGTTCTGGTTCTGGTTCTGGTTCTGATGGAGGTTTCTGGTTATTTAAAGGTGAGATGCCTCGTTTATGCTCAGGACGGTGGATTAAATCAGAGAGACGGGTCAGAGCAATCTGCTGGATTCCCTTTTTTTTTTTAACTGGCTCAGACAGAATCAGACAGTTAGATCTTCAAAAACTGGAATTTATTGGATTGTGATTGGATTACAAGCTGGTTTCTAATTGGTTTCTAATAGTGACGGCTATAGATTTGATGATGTCTTTGTTCTTATTTGCTTCCCGGAGGTTGAATTCATGGTTTAAAACGTCCACATTTCTGGTTTAAAACAGGTATTTTTACATGCAAACAGGAACCCCTGACTAGGTCGTTTTTCTGTCCTCATTCTGAACAGACTTCTGTTTTCCACAGGCCTTTGTGGGATGGTGGCCCACATGATGTTTACCACCTCCTTCCATCTGGCTGTGTCCATAGGGCCGGAGGACTGGAGGCCCAAGACCTGGGACTACAGCTGGTCCTATGCGTAAGCATTTTTAAATGTCTTCTGAAAAACAAAATCTGCCAAACCAGCTGGTAGTTTGTGTCCAAACTGGGTTCGAATCTCAAGGAAAACAGCGATTGTGTTCACTCTTGTTTTGATCTGTGTTGTTATTGTAAATACGTGAGGATTTGTCACAATTTTTACAGACTTGAACTGCGTTCAAACTAGGGTTGTCAAAAGTATCGATACTCGAAAAAGTATCGATACTAAAATGTTGTATCCGGATACGATACTCATTTTCAAAAGTATCGATACCGCTCTCTGATTTATTCATGCATTTATTTATGTTGTTTATGATCATTAACAAGACGTTAGCCTTGAACTGCTAGCTGCGGCTAATGGCTAATAATAACATGCCAACATTAATCAAGTACATATCCGACTCCGCCCACATCCAAGTCGGACATTTGGATTACATCACCAATAGGAAGATCCCAGGCAAGAAAATCGTAATGGCCTCATGGCAGTATAGATATCAATTTAAAAATAGTTAAATGGATCTTTCAAACACTTAATTAAACCTTTTACATATTATGTTAAAATTGTGTATATTAAATAGGTTTGTACAATAAGTCCAAACAAGTTTAACCAAAAAATATTTATTTCTCACAATTATGAAAGGTGGAGGGTTAGGGGTTAGGGTCAGGGTTAGGGTTAGGATTAGGGTTAGGGTCAGGGTTAGGGTCAGAGGCGGGGTTAGGGTCAGGGTTAGGGTTAGGATTAGGTTCATTAATGTGGGCCACCAGTCACGATAACATCAGTAACAGGTCAGTTTGAAATGAAAGACACAATTCAGTTAAATTTTGGGGTCTTTGTTTTTAACCTTGTGGTATCGAAAATGTATTTTCCTGAGTATCGGTATCAAGTTGAACATGTTAGTATCGTGACAACCCTAGTTCAAACCGAGTTTTCCTTCGATTCCCAGCTTAGCGTGGAGCTCTTTCGGCACCTGCATGGGCTCGGCGGTGACGGCGCTCAACAGGTACACGAAAACCATCATCGAGTTCAAATACAAGCGGCGGAACATCGAGAAGAGCCTGATGATCAGCCAGCAGATGCTGGAGCTGGGTCTCCCCGACCAGATGTGGGACATGTACCTGACCTCCACCCCCCCGGAGCTGCCCGTTAACGGCCAAAAGCCCCCAACGGGGTCCCCCTACGAGCTGGAAACGGACAGTGGAGCAGAGCAGCAAGTGGAGGCCTATTGTTGAAACGGACCCATTCCTGCTCTGGGATTAACTCAGTTGGATTCTATTCAATTTTATTTACAGTGGGGGAAATAAGTATTTGACCCCTTGCTGATTTTGCAGGTTTGCCCACTTACAAAGAATGCTTATTTTTCCTCATCAGATGGTTATCAATTTTTATAAATTCATATGATGTGATTTTCTGGAATTTTCTTTGGGATTCTGTCTTTCACTGTTAGAATGTACATATGATTAAAGTTATAGATCGTTGCATTCTTTGTAAGTGGGCAAACCTGCAAAATCAGCAAGGGGTCAAATACTTATTTCCCCCACTGTATACAGCGCCAAATCACAAGTCAGACCAGACTCTGTGGTTATTTACAGAAGAACAACAGTTCCCACCAAGAGCAGCACTGGGCGACACACGGAAGGAAAAACTTCCTTTTAACAGGCAGAAACCTGGAGCTGAACCATGGCTCAGGGTGGGGGGGGGGGGGGGTCTGCCCCGGCCGGTGGGGGGTGTGAGAGAGAGAGAGAGAGAGAGAGAGAGAGAGAGAGAGAGAAAGAAAACGACACACAGTTACACATAGACTGGATGAAAAATGGTAAAGATATTGATACTAATGATAATGATAATGAAGTAATGATAGCAGTAAGACTATGAACAGAGGCTCTAACTGTGGCAGAGCAGGAACACACAAGTCCGTCTGGATGCAGGAAGCCGAGGATGGATATCCAACTCCGCCCACATCCAAGTCGGCCATTTTGATTAGGTCACCAACAGTAAGATCCCAGGCAAGAAAATCCTAATTGCTTCATGGCAATATAGACATTAATTTAAAAATTAGGAATTAATCTTGCAAACAATGTTATGTTAAAATAGTGTATGTTAAATAGGTTTGTACAATAAGTCCAAACAAGTTTAACCAAAAAATATATATTTCTCACAATTATGAAGGGTGGAGGGTTAGGGTTAGGGTTAGGGTTAGGGTTAGGGTTAGGGTTAGGGTCAGGGTCAGGGTCAGGGTCAGGTTTAGGGTCAGGGTTAGGGTTAGGTTTGGGGTTAGGATCAGGGTTAGGGTTAGGGTCAGGGTCAGGGTTAGGTTTAGGGTCAGGGTTAAGTTTAGGGTTAGGACATCGTTTGTCTTCCAATTTCGTATAGACAGTAAAGTTTCGTTTCCACCTCAGAAAGCTGCTAGTCACATGACATAATCAAAATGGCCGACTTGGATGTGGGAGGAGTTGGACATCCAACCGAGGCATCCTCCAGATTGCACAGCTCCAGAACCAGGAACCTCTGCAGAAAGTGAGGAAAGGGATGAGAAAGCACACGACTACGGGAAAGGGAGAGAGTCCAGTTAGTAATATCGTTAATGGAGGGAGAAAGAGAAAGGAAACATCTTTCTTAAACTTTCTCAAAGCGTCTGATCCAGGAGGAGCTTGTTTGCAGCCCCCAGCTTCTCCTCCAAACGATAATCTAACATGGTCAGCTCTCACAAACATGCCTGTAATCAGGCTGTTCGTGACTAAACGTCGTCCACATTAAGCTGTGACAGGCTGGGGATGAGCCCCTCCTGCACAGATAGGCCCTAAATATTATAATATATTCCAATATTTCTGTCAATGAGTTTTGGTTCTGTGGCTCAATGCAAATTTAGCCCTCTCAGGTCAAAAAGACCTTTGAAAACAGGCTGTTTTTGGGGCCTATTGTAAGAAATAATGTCATATTTCTCTTTTCTATTGGAAGAAATAATGTCATATTTCTCTTTTCTATCTGAAGAAATAATGTCATATTTCTCTTTTCTATTGGAAGAAATAATGCCATATTTCTCTTTTCTATTGGAAGAAATTGTTATATTTCTCTTTTCTATTGGAAGAAATTATGTCATATTTCTCTTTTCTATTGGATGAAATAATGCCATATTTCTCTTTTCTATTGGAAGAAATAATGTCATATTTCTCTTTTCTATTGGAAAAATAATGCCATATTTCTCTTTTTTATTGGAAGAAATAATGTCATATTTCTCTTTTCTATTGGAAGAAATAATGTCATATTTCTCTTTTCTACACACGTATGCATAATTTTCCCCCTTTTTTCAAGAAGTAGTTGTCAGTTTGAATAAGAAAATCACAGCTCAGTTATGTGTGGAAAAGGTAAAAAGGAAAAATCCCAAAGGCTTTCAGAATCAGAATAAGGTTTATTGCCAAGTAGGTTTTTAGACTTACAAGGAATTTGCCTTGGTGTTTGGTGAACAACACTTCTATGAGAAGCAAGGAAGGAAATAAAATGTAGAAATAAAAATATAGAACAGAAATTATAAAACTAAAAATACAATCTTTAAAACTATAGATCTGAATGTATTATTTACAATAATTGCAGTATTGAAAGTAAAAATCGTTGCAATTGTGTGCAAGAGGCAGTTTTCTGTGCCAGAAAAAATATTCTGTGAATCTTATGCTCCATGAAGGTCCATTTGTATCCTAAAAGTGGCATAAATATTCATAAAACCCCAATAATTCATGAGGAATTATGACATTTAGTTTGTCAATAAAGGATGAAGAGGGACACAATTCCTGAAAATAACAAGGAATTCTGTGGAAGTTTATCTTAAAAAAGGTCAGATCAAAAGGACTTGCTTCATTATTTTTAAACCTGCAGGCATCAAAACCACCAATAACCTGTAATATTTCAAATTAAAGTGTCAGAAATACAGTTCCCACCTTTGGAAACGGGAGTGAAATTTTCAAACCAGAACAATTATTGGATGGATTATGGGAAAATGAGGTTCATGAATAAAATAAAACTTTCTAACAGCCTGTCATTATCATTATATTTGGTTTATGAGCAAGAAGGATAGTTAGGTTATGTAGAAAAGTAAAACAGTGCCTATTTTCTAGGATCAGTCTGATTAATATTAAGGTAAAAAAAAGTGTTCAGAACAATCATTTATGCTCTTTGTGGACATTTATTTTGGCATAAAGGTGAGTTATAACAGCATCCTCATAATATGTTTAGTTTAACAAGAGAATCTTTTTTTTTAAACGGGATTTGAGCCTCCCCAGAGGAAAGGTTTAGTCCGTTTCTTGGAAGCAGATTGTGCATTTTTGTGCATTGTTTTCTAAACATGGCATCATGATGATGTTAAATGTGCATAACGGACAGCAACAAAATAAACCCATTTCAGACTTTTCTTTGACAGATTTCACAGTTCTTCAGATTTCTGTGTTCTACGTGTGTGTATAGGGAGAATAAGAATCTCCAAGACATCGATATAATTCAGTTTTATTCATTGAAATTATCAAAAAAGAATCAAAAGAATCCAGATATGAAATCGTATAAACATTATACATTGTTTTAAAAATCACAAGCTGAAAGAATATAAACATTTTCTCTCTTCATGTGACTTAAAACATCTCAAATGAAACACATTTAATTACTATAAATGGTGTATTTCATTCTAACATTAGCTGATTAAATTAAGATCAGATTTTAAAACCCTACACTTAAAGCTCTGCCAGGTGTGTGGTGGATGTGAGCAGTCAGGTGATAACAAGCTCTTTGTAAAGCTGTTCGGGGTGATCTTCGACGTATTTCTTTATGTACCAGCAGGAAATGCGTGCCTTCAACTTCTCCTCCACCAAAAAGTCCATGGCGGCCTAAAAAAATGAGCACAGACAGCTTTAAATACTGACTCTCCCAGTGTGACTCTGCTCAGATCAGACCTGTGGGACTCCAACCTGGGAGAGCAGGGCTGCAACACCTTGGCCTCGAAATGTTTCCGGAACAAAGGTGGACATCAGGTCCACCTCCTTTTCTGCGGTGAATCTGTAGAGCAGCACGGCCTGCTCCTGGACCCCTGCGGACAGAGACCCAAGGGGCTTCAAGCTGCACTCAGTATGACCGGGATCCTAAAGAGGATTACAGTCTGTGGAGGTTTACAGATGTGCACAGCTGTTTTCAGAAAGACAGTTGCTGACCAGGCCTTTCTTTGAACACAAAATGATTTAATGCACTAACTCAGAGCTAGAGTTACACCTTATTCAGTTTGATAAACAAATTAACCATGAACAACACCAAACAAACAAACAAAACTCCAGCCTTTCAAATCTACTACTATTGGAATAAAATTTGGCAAAAATCTATTAAATTGGCCTTAACTACTAATCCTAAACATGACGAATTGTAAACTGAGTTGACGTAGTCCGTATAAAATAAATATTAAAGACAAAAGTTACTGAACAGCTGCTCACAGCCAAGGGCACCTTTAAAATCTTTTATTTTTCTATTAAGTTTGGTTGTGCATTTTTTCTCAAGATAGAATAATACTCTCGATTTTTTATTAGAATAGAAAAATACAGGTAAAACAAATCTAGAAATGTCTTAATAAATAGATCGCGAAATGAGCTATTTTCAACAGGCCCCGGTTACACACCGGGCTCCCCTACAGAATCTACCCGGAAATAGAGCCTCGGTCCCGGCTGTGATCTCACCGGAGCCCGCTCCTGGAGCCACGGTGAAGCGCCGGTTCGTCCGGTCATGTTCCACCGTCAAACCTCCGTCACAGCTCCGGGCTCGGAGGTTGGTCTGGCCGGACCTGATCTGGCAAGTTAACCCACAGAGTCTGGAAGTCATTTTAGAGGCCATTTCTTCCAACAGAAACAGAGCTCCGCTGCCTGTGGACGCGCTGTCGTTCTCCACCGTGACCACCAGGGGGCGCCAAATATTTACAATATATTTATGAAAGACCTTTAATAAGTAAACCAATTATTTGAGTAAACTTTTGGGATGATTTAAAAATTTTTTGTAAAGACATCATTGTAAATTATGTGTAGAGGTTCAACAACAACAAACAAAACAAAGTTTAAAAAAGGAAAAAATAACATGTTTACTGTTGTGTAATATTTACCTAGCTCCATTTTTGAAGGTTTGTTTTCTTAGTAACCACTCAAACTAAAATTGATTATTTTATCCTAATTATTCAGATTAGTTGATATGAATGAAAGCAACTCATTTAGCTACTTTTAAAACATTTTGCTTGAGGATTTTATGCAGTATAAAACTCCGGGGACAATGTTTATAAAGAGTTTGGATAATAATATTCTTTAATATTGCAACACATGCAGAGAAGCTGATTAATAATATAAAAGTAAGCATTTTGGAAAAAAGCCTGGGATTCCAACAAAGTTACTGGCATCACATTTGCATCCAAAAACCAAAAAGTAAACGAGGCCAAATGTTTAATTCACACAGTCGTTTCATATAGTTTATTCAAAACAGTTTTTGTAATTGAATCTGTAATCATACAAAAGACATTTCAGAATTTTGTAACTAAACTACAGTTTTTTACAGGCACATTTTATGGTATTTCAAACTGCAGACTCCACATGAAACAGTCGGATGTTCTGCATTGATTCGTCTCGTCCATCGTGGCTCCGTTGCCATGGCAGCAATTCACATCTTCTCAGAGGCGGCAGAGCTCTTCACTCCCGCGGCCATGATGGCGAAGAAGACGTTGGGGAAAAAGGACCTGGCGTAGATGGCCATCTTGGGGAGCGACGGGGCAATGAGCACCTCTCTCCTCTTGTTGTTCAGCGTCCTGACGATTTCCGCCGTGGCCTCGTCCGGAGAAACGCCGAGCGGCTTCCGGGTGTACAACACTGCAAATAAAAGAGACGAATGTAGCCAAGTTTTAAAAGTCTGTGCTCATCATTAGTTCCCATGTTGTCCTGAGCTTCTTGAACAAGCTTTTTAAGAGGGTCCAGAGACGTTTGTTTAGCAAAATGAGCTGGTTGTCTGAAGGGATGCCGCAGAAATCTGCAAGTTTATATGACTGTCAGACACCTGGTCAAACCAAAAGGAACTTTTTGGGGGGTAAACACAGATCATTGGGTTACCAAGAGAGATTTCAAGCTCATTTATTTCTCTCTTATCAGTCACTGTACTAAGCTAAAATTGTATAAGTAACTCTGGAATAGCTCGGAATAAAATCAAAAGTGACTTTATAGATATTAGTTCAGCGTAAACTGTCATTTTCTTTAGATGTTACTGAGAAAATGGAATATATATATAGGCAGTGATTTATGCAAAGATGTTCACACATAAATGTAAATACATCTAATGATCCAGTATTGAAATCAAATATTCAGAAATTTAGCAAAAATGAAAATAAATTTTTGGTTTTCCCTCCAAGTAATCAGCTAAAAATGGAAATGGAAGAGGAGGAGGAGGACGAGGAAGAGGAGAAGAAAATGGAAGAGAAGGAGGAAGAGGGGGGGGAGGAGGAGGAGGAAGACGAGGAAGAGGAGAAGGAGGAGGAGGAGGAAGAAGAAGACGAGGAAGAGGAGGAGGAGGAGGAAGAGGAGGAGGAGGAGTCACTCACGTGACCAGAGGGATTTGGGGGCGGAGCCTCCGGCGGCCGCGCGGCTGATGAAGGTGTGGCTGATGGTGCTGACAGAGATCCCGTATTCTTCCACCTCGGCTCTCAGCGAATCAAAGAAGGCCTGGACGGCGTGTTTGGAGGCTGCGTCTAAAAAAGAGAAGTTAATCTGAGCTGATTCTCTTCCCCCAAAGCAAACGTCCTCACTTTTAATACTTAATTTACCAGTTTGACTGATCTGACTGAACATCTCCCACCTATTTAATTTTAAAACCTGTGGTTTCATCCTCATGTTGCTAGGTTACACGTAGATTTCTAAAACTAACAAGGTGAAACATCATGACTCGCCTTAAAGGAGACATATTATACCCCATTTCAACAAGTTAACCTAGTTCCCTGGTGTCCTAATGTGATGTCTATGACAAGCTTTGGTCAAAATCCCATAAGGATGAAGCCCAATAGCAGTTCAGTCCCCCTGCCTAACCCTAACCCTAACCCTAACCATAACCCTAACCCTAACCCAAAACAGCCCCGTTCAGAGCGCTCGCTTTGGAGTGCCTGTCTCTTTAAATGCAAATGAGACACAGGCAATCCACCCACTTCTTCAGGGAGGTGTGCCCACGTCGGCACGCTAACGCTACCATGCTAACGCTACCATGCTAACGCTACCATGCTAACGCTCACGCTACCTCAAATATTATAATGAGCTAGAGCTAATGACGTCAGAAACCACCCACTCCTGAAACCTCCTGATTTATCTCCTGGATTCAGACTGAGGCGGCCCACAAAAACATGACCGAGTCATTTTTTTTCACACTTTGCCTGCTGATAGGCCGTCCACAGTCCCAAATGTAAACAATCAAATGATTAAAAACTTGGTTTTGCATAATGTCCCCTTTAAAATAGACCCTGTCATCGTTTCTCACATCGTTTCTAATTTATCGCCTATTATCCAAACCACTTTCCAGTCCTTAGACAGACCAAAATGAAGCTTTTTGCCGACCCAAAGAAAGAGAAGAGTCATTTCGGTTCCCCCTCCAGTGTCTGAACTCACATGTTGTGCGAAAAGGCACGGCTATCTTCCCCTGGATGCTGTTCACCAGGACCAGGTGTCCGCTTCTCCTGGAGATCATGGAGGGCAGCACCCCTGAAAAATAGAGAGAGAGCCACTTCGTCACATCCTGCCCATCGGAGAAAACTCCGCCCTCCCCCATCCCGGGAAAGGGAATTAAATTAATTATTTTATTTAGTTCATTTTTTTTGCCAACTCCAGGCCCAACGCACAATTACAGCACATTTTTTTGTACAGAATGTTGCAGAGAAAAAACAGAATGGAAAAAAAAATGGTCGCTACTGCTAAAGAAAGAGCAGATTTGTTTACAAGGAGAAGGGGAACAACAGAAAATTCTGCCACCTTTGGCCAGCGTGACGGGCCCAAAGTAGTTGTTGTCCATCAGGAGTTTGTCCACCTCCAGAGACAGGCTCTGGGCGGGGGCTCTGGCCTTCATGCTGCTGTTGAAGATGAGCACGTCCAGACAGCCGTAGCAGTCCAGGATCTCTGCGATGGCCTCGGGCATGCTGTCCAGATCCCCAAAGTCCAGCAGGACCAGCTTAGGGGGGAAAGTCTGAGAGGAAAGAACACAGTCAAAGCAGAAAAAGAGGTCTAAAAATCTGTCTTTGGGGTTCGATTCCGCCCTGATATCCCTTCAACAAAGATCCTCATCTGAATTCTAGCATCCTTCTGTAAGGATTTGGCTAAAAAATACTCACTTTAGCATAGCATGCTATCACATGATCTATGTAGATTACTGATTGTTTTATTTTCTTTTATAGCTATATTTTGTGTTGACGTCTCTGGTTGTGCCCATAGACTCTTTCCTCTCCCCTTTCCTTTCTCTCTTTTCTTTCTCTGTTGCATTAGATACACGTCTTTAAGTCAACACAAACACACATCATTTGGTACCATATTCCAACGTCATCAACATGAATTAGGACCCGGCTTGTTAGTCTTAGAGGTAACTAATCAATAGGAGTTGGTTGTATCCAGTCCTCCTTTTGAGGGGTGTGCCCAGGTCAGGAGATAATGCCCATATCTCAGGGCTCTTTGCCCGCTGAAATACTCTACCTGTGACCCAATAAATGTCAATTTTTTACTGTTGATCTACTGTGGCTTATTCTCAGGATTCCAATGAAAGAATCGGATTAACACTTCCATCACCTTCCGGTCCATTTCTGAAGTAGATTTCAATCTTATTGAAGAGTTTCAGGGTTTTTTATGAAATTCTGCTTCTTTATTTTCCCCAAGTGTAGCACTCAGATAAAAAAGTCCAGACTCAAAAGTAGAGGAGAATCCTTTTTCTGTCCCAATCTCTGGAGCAACTTACCAGAAGAATAAAAACAGCTCAGAATAACTCTACTTTTGTTCTTTCTGGCCTTAAACTGATGTTGAAGCGGATGTTTTAAGTCCCTTTGGTGTGACGATATGCCATTTTATTTGGACTTTGGTTACAATCGGTTGTTTTTAAATTTGGTAAATAAGTTAACCTGTAGTTAATTATTATTGTGATTAAGAGCAGAGATGCGGTTATACTTTGATAAATGGCTGCCATGACAGAATGATTGAAACAGGACCTCTAACAATAACCTTTGTCATCTTTTTTCATATTTACTGACATTAATAAATGAATAGATTAACACTTTAACACCATGTGATTCTGTTTATTTGACACTTACTGCTGTTGGATCGGAGACGTTTGCCAACTCATCTGCCAGCTCCTCCAGCTTCTCCCAGCTTTTCCCACAGAGGATGAGTCTGGCTCCTCCCTTGTGAAAGACGCCGGAGCATTCTGCAAACAGGCCCCAGAGCTGAGAGGTCACCAAACCTGCTCCAGTTTCCCCAAAAAACCACGCCGGCTCACCTTTCCCCAGCCCAGACAGGGCGTCCGTTACCACCACCACCTTGTTGCGTACAGAGGTTTTGGACACCAGATTGACGATGGCTCCGTAGAGGTAGAAAAATCCTGCTGTCAGAACAACTACACAGGGCACCAGGAGGACAGTCGTCCATGTTGGGTCCATGTTCTGCCAAGAAATATGCCAAAAAATCGTTAGACTATTTGCAGTTAAGCAAGTAAGAGACTCAGGCCAGGCATGTTTGATGATGTATGTAAAAAATATCAAACAAAAAATGATCCAAACCAACATTTCACAGATGGAAGCTTAGCATTAGCTTAGCATTAGCATTAGCATTAGCATTAGCATTAGCATAGCATAGAATAGCTTAGCTTAGATCAAGTGGCAGAGTTAAATTGGCTAAAATCAATTCACAAGCATACTTAAAGCTCACAAATCAAAATGTTTTTTAGCTTTTACAAAATCTATAAAAACAGATTACGTTTTAAGGTATAGGTAAAATTTGTTACTGTTTCTTGACTTTGGGTAAAGCTAAACAGGGAGCAGAAAAACTAAACCATTCATTAAAAAAAAACACTTTAAAAATGTCCGTGTTTAAGTTATCATCATGGAAGTTGTGGTTAGTCGACAGATTCTTGAGTTAAAGTATGTTTCGGGTGGTAAACATACTTTGTGGAGAGAAAATTAAGTTGATTTTGGAGATGCAGATGGATGAGATGGGATGTAAAAACTATTTGTTTCTACTTAATAAATGTCTCATACCCACAGGCTCTCCGGCTCTGTTTCATTGGTATCCATCTTATCCCCTACAACCTTGTTCTATCTAACTATGACTTCTTATTATTCTGAAACAAAGACGGAGAAGGAAATTCAAAAGTTAAATAAAGAGCGAATGGCACTTGAATTATGTGTACCTTCATGTTTATATACTCAGTGTTTGGATACTACAGCTTCCTGGGAAATGATCAGGACACAAACTTATTAAAAATAAATTAATAAATAAAGACACAAGCTCAAAAAGCAAAACTACAGAAAAACTAACAAGCAAACCGCAAAATCAAAATTGTGACGAAGAAATCTGCCAGAAAATTACTAATAAATAAATGGACCAAAAAACAATACAAAAGACCACAAATATACAGCAAAAGACTAAAAATGCATAAAAAGCGCAAAAACATCTTCATATACATTTTTAATGAATGAAGAAATATCTGCCAGACCCAAAATTATCTCATAGAAATGAAAGTGTTGCAAAAATAATACAAAAATACATCAAACAGATAGACTGAACATTTATGATAAATAGATAAATAACATGATAAAACCATAAATAAATCTTAAGATAATGGAAAATATAATAAAGACAGAAATGTTTTTAAAGTAAAACTAGTACAAAGTTTATTTTGGGCTTCGGGTGGTGCTGATAAACCACAAGACCTTTCGGCTGAGTTCATGTTCGGTCAATCCACCAACATCATTGTTTTTATCCTGACTGTGCCAGCTTTCTGTCATTCGAGTGTAAAAACCAGCACTCATACACAGCGCCAAGTGAGAGATAACCTTTTGGTTTAGGTTTACCATGCCAAGCACTGGCTGTTTGTCCAAGAAGAGGCTTCTAAATATAAACCACCACTAAAATAGAGGCAGCGGCTCTCAATGACACAGTGTCATTTTTAACAAGAACCGGCAGATTAAACAGAACAGATATTTAAAAAAGAGCCACATTTAAGCGGAACGTCGTGATAAATTAATCATCAGGCACCACTTACTGCTTCCCAGGCCTCTGCAGGTAGTGTGCTGTAATTCCTCTCCTGAGGAGAAGTGGCTGCACGCCTCAGCAGAGCTGCTGCGACATGACAGCCAGCCAGCTCTCAGCAGCAATACTTTAGGATTTGAGGTCTTTTAATAGCAGCACAGCTGAGTCGGTTATTTTCCATGTGTGTTGTCAAGGAGGTATGTATAGCCTGACAAACCGGGACTAAGAGGAGAGGGGCTTAATTCAAACACAACGTTCTTCTATGTCCACATGTAGAATATTCCTATAAGTGAATGCAAGTGTCCATTTGAAATTATAATAGTTTTAAATATCAAAAATGGCAATGTGATAAACACGTATTGTTCATAAATTGGAGAAACATGGCACTAAATCCAGTTAAAGGTTTTATATTGCCACGGATGTTTTTAAACAAATACTTCACACATATTGGAGATGGGACTTGAGACACAAACTTTCTGTTGTCGATGAAGACTTGTTTTGTGCTAAGCGGCAGACAGTAATGACAATATTCCTCCAATTTTCAAGCATGCTCTTTATTCTGATTTAAAATTATATATTTAGTTTAGTTAATGTTTTGTAACCAAGTTTCTTCTTTATTGTTATTATGTTTTTTCACAATAACAATAAAGAAGAAAAAAAAACGGGGAAAAAAACTTGGCTACAAAACATTAAAAAAAAAAATTCTCTTTTATTATGAAGAACCAAGCGGAAGTGGTTTGTTCGTTTTGACCGGGTGAAGGTTTTACTGTGAAGGGCTGACCGGATGTGGAATGTTGGTTTTGACGGCGGTTGGTTTTCACTGACATAGCTGACAGTTCGCATCATCCTTCCCGGACCGGACTCCTCAGAGCCGCTGGAAAAGAAAAAAAAAACAAAAAAAAAACACGGCCGTGATTCCGATATAATGTCTGATTTCGAAGAGTTTGAGAAGCAGCTGAGCGAGAACCGACAAGGTGAGTGTCCGTCCGCTACCTGTCTGTGCCCCGGTTCGGTGCGCAAGCTAGCAGGCGACCGTTGGTGTGAAACCGTTAGCCCGTGAAACGGTTTTTTTTTAATGAATGGATAACCCCAACGTGACGGGACGCTTTCTCTGGCCGTGACTCAGCGTGTTTACCCGGTCTGTGTTGACGTGTTTGACAGCTCTGGAGGAGGGCGGGAAACCGGCGTGTTTCCGTTCAGCCGCGCGAGACGGCAGGATGCGAAATCTCCTCGTGACGATGTCTCGTTATCAATGGACATGTCATCGATCACCTCACTTTGTGACCTCATCAAATAAAGCCACGCATTGGATTATTAAAACAGAGGCGATTTAAAAAAAAAGAAAAAAAAGAAAGCTGTTATTTATATGTGTTTTACAAAAACGATCGCGTCCAACTATTTTAATATTTGCCATCATTATAACTAACTAACTAACTAAAAAAAAAAAAAAAAATACACTTAGATTTACAAAAACTATTCGAGCAAGTTTGCTTCAACCCTCAATACATAGATCTGTGACACCTATTGCTTCCTAAAATAGTAGTAGTAATACTGGGAGTATAGAATGATTCATTTTTATACAAAATGTTCAGAAAATCTGAAAATTTTGAGGTTATTCGTTTTTAAATAATTTAGTTAGTACTTAAGAAAATCAACATTTGTATCCTGGGTTAAACATTGGAAAATAAATAGATACATTATATATATATATGTATAAATGGATATATATGAATACTAAGGACCTGTTTGTGTAATTGTTTGTGTTGTTGGTCTTTGTGTGGCCCGTTGAATTTGACTCATATCAATTATTAAAACCCTCTGATTTGGGGGAGGAAACACATGGACTGCTGACCTGTCCAGGGTACCCCGCCTCCCACCCCGGGACATCTGGGACTGGCTCCAGACCCACTCTAGGAATTACCCACATACATTTATGCAACATCCAAAGTGACGTCACAGGACATGGCTTACAGACACGTGCACAGTTTGTGCCATGTTGGTTATGAAGAAATAAAAAAATAGAAGTAAGCCATATTCAACAACAAGCTCACAGAACAAATCCAGACTAAATAGATGTGATTTGATGATTACAATATACTTACAGTGTCCAGTAATTGAAAGGACATAAAGCTCATGATAGAGATAATATTTAACAGGTAAGGAGTAACATGTATCATACAAAATGCAAAAAAAAACACCTGAAAGTTTTCTGTGGGGGAATTCTATATATCTATGATCATTTTCTTTTCTATTCTATTTCTTTTCTATTTTATTCTCTCTGGTAACTTTCCACAAGTGAATATGTTAAAGGTTCTTTTTCTTTCTCATTGGACTCATTCCTCCTTCTAGGTCTCAGAGAGGGTCTCCTCAAACTTCGTTTGTTTGGTACAGGTGCAGGTTACTCTATGATGGGACATGGATTTTACCCCCCTTCTCAAGCTCAGAGAGGGTTTTAAAATGTACTATGATTTTGTTTTACTTTGGAGCAGCTTAAAACGTTGCATGGCACGTGCTGGTTGCTCTCACTTCATGAAGTTTTCCCTTTAATACATTTTCTATCTCTTACTCTCTTAAACGAACTCAGACTCTTGCTTCAGAATTTTCACAACAGTCCAAATAAACCCAAGTTTTCCCCCTCCTTTTTTAAATTAAATCATCATGTTGCTTTCAGGGCATCCCTGTACTGGTTCATAACCTTTTGTCACACGTCCAGATGTGGAGCCGCCCCACATCTCTCTGTCTGACCTTTCCTTTTGTCTCAGAGCGGGAGCGGGAGCGGCACAAAAAGCGGAGTCGCAGCGGCTCGCCGCCCGCCCGCGCAGACAAGCACCGCAGCCGGGAGAAACGCAGCCGCAGCCGGGACCGGAAGAGCCGGGACCGCCGCAGCTGCTCCCGGGACCACAAGAAGCACAGGTGACCAGCGGGGGTCCGGCGGGGCCTCTCAGGCCTCCATTAGATGGAATTACCCTCACAAATTCAATTAAATTCAATTCAATTTTATTTATATAGCGCCACATCACAACAACAGGTGTTTCACAGCGCTTTCCAAACAGAGCAGGTCAGACCCTACTCTGAAGTTAAATACAGAAACCCAACAATTCCCAAATATCCTCACACTGGGGAATTTCTGAGAAGGAGAGTTTTGATCTAATAGATTTTTTTGGTGAAACTGTGAAATGTCACTGTTGTAGCAGCAGGTAAACATGAAAAAAGAAAAAAAAATTCAAGTTTTTTAGAAAATTCCCAAACAAATAGTTACCATAATATGCTGCTATTGATTTAAAAGATGTCAGAAAGCTATGAGAAGACACGTCTTGTTTCTGGAAGCAGCCTGAAGTCCTCAGATTATTTGTTTAGTGTGAGAAAGCAAAGACAAACAGCAGATCATCACAGCTCCTCTGAGTTGTTATTCTGGTCTTTTTTAAAGCAGTTTAATTTCGCGGCGGCAGTTTCAAAGGTTGGTTTAAATGATAACTTGGGTCACGTAGCCATAGCAACAAAAAGGGGTGAGTGGCTCAGAAGTTTGTCTCTTCTCTGCCTGAAGCCGCTCTCCCAGGCGCACCAGGAAGAAACGGACCTGCAAGTACTGGGACGTTCCTCCGCCCGGCTTTGAGCACATCACACCGATGCAGTACAAAGCTATGCAAGGTACCGGCCTCCTTCAGACCTCCTCCCATTAGACCTCCTCTCCACCAGGCCTCCTATCAGACCTCCTCCCATCAGACCTCCTCCCTTCAGACCTCCTCCCATCAGACCTCCTCCCACCAGACCTCCTCCCACCAGACCTCCTCCCATCAGACCTCCTCAGTGTCAGACTTTCTCCTATCAGACCTCCTCCCATCAGACCTCCTCCCATCAGACCTCCTAACTGTCAGAACTCCTGCTATCAGACCTCCTCCCTGTCTGACCTCCTCCCATCAGACCTCCTCCCATCAGACCTCATCCTATCTGACCTCCTCCCGACAAACCTCCTCAGTGTCTGACCTCCTCCCATCAGACCTTCTAACCATCAGACCTCCTCCCATCAGACCTCCTCCCATCAGACCTCCCATCAGACCTCCTCCCATCAGACCTCCCATCAGACCTCCCATCAGACCTCCTAACTGTCAGACCTCCTTCAAACCTCCTCTCTACCAGGCCTCCTTCGGACCTCCTAACTGTCAGACCTCCCATCGGACCTCCTCCCTGTCAGTCTTCCTCCCATCAGACCTCCTCCTTTACAGCTCTCTCTCTTCCTCCCGTTCCCCAGCGGCCGGTCAGATCCCGACGATAGCCCTGCTGGCCTCGTCCACCACCACCGGAGTGGCCGCCGCCCCGACCCAAGTGCCCATCGTGGGGAGTCAGATGACCAGACAAGCCCGACGCCTCTACGTGGGAAACATCCCCTTTGGGGTCACCGAGGTGAACATGGAGGCGAGCAGGGATGGGGATCGTTAATATTTATCGATATCGATACCTTTATCGATAATCCTGATCGATCCGAGTCTTTATCGATACCACTATCGATACTTTTTTGTTATTTGGTGGAAAGACGATGCAACAATATTTAGCAAATAAATAATTTTATTTTAAATTAAATGTAATTTTTAATAAATGTTGGCGTCAGTAGTTAAATTATATATTCTAAAATAATTAGAGCAATATACAACTGTATTACTCATGTTTCTCGCCAAAAACTCAATTTCCCTTTTCCTAACGTCACAGTTGAACACATCACGATAACCTAATTGTCGTTTTACTGAGCCAATCTGAACACGTCTGAAACTTTATTTACTTTTCAAGCTAACTAGCTTGTATGCTGCCGATTACAACACGGATTTCACAATTACTATTGTAATAATAAAAAAAAAACGACCAGACTCGATAGTGGTATCGATAAGCCCAAACAGTATTGATTTTCGCTCAGGCTGCTGCCTCCGGTCACTCTGAGGGTCTCCGTCTGTGCAGGAGTCCATGGCAGAGTTTTTCAACGCCCAGATGCGCCTGGCCGGCCTCTCACAGGCCCCGAGCAACCCCGTCCTCGCCGTGCAGATCAACCAGGACAAGAACTTTGCTTTCCTAGAGGTGTGTGTTTTTAATATCCCACCACGTTCAAATAGAAAAGTCAGAATCTCCGTGGAGATCAAAGGTCAAAGGGGGAAGTCTGGTGCTTTGATCAGGTTTTAAAACATGGTCGGAGATGTTTTTCAGGGATCTTTGATGAACTCCAGTTTCATCAGAGCTCCTGCTGCAGCATTTTGGATCTGCTTGAGACTAGGCTTGTCCCGATCCAACATCTGGATCAGATCAGCCGCCGATATTCGCAAAAAACTGCGTATCGGCCGGCAGGAGAAAACCGATCCAGACTGCCGATCCATTAGAATTAGCACTAGCATCTCCTAACCCACAGGTCTGTGTCCTAACCATTAAGTTTTTATCAGAGTAAATCCCTGTTCAACATGAGTCTGACAACTAAGTAAGTAGATAAATAACTTTAAACTTGAATACATGCTCTGATAGACCAGGATCGGTATCCCATCGAAAGTGAAAAAAGCTGGGTCGGGACATCCCTTCTTGAGACTTTGGTTCAGAGCACTAATAAAGAATTACAGCAGTCCTGAAGGAACAAATGCACAAAGCCTTTTCTCTGCATCCCTCTTAGACAGGATGCTCCTCCTTCTGGAGGCTTTTTGAAAGGGGAAAGAAGGCAGTCCTAGAGACGTAGCGACCCGTGTGGCAGTGGTTGCAAACGGGCCTCTCCCCCCTTTGCTGTCCAGTTCCGCTCTGTGGACGAGACCACGCAGGCCATGGCCTTCGACGGGATCATCTTCCAGGGCCAGTCGCTGAAGATCCGGCGCCCTCACGACTACCGGCCTCTGCCTGGCATTTCCGAGCAGCCGGCTTTCCACGTCCCGGGTTTGTGTCCGCCTCCTTTTTCTGCTCCCTGAATAACTAAATTCGATCGCGTGATTTTAATTCCTTTTCTCTGCTTGTTGATGGGTAGGCGTTGTCTCCACAGTGGTGCCAGATTCCCCCCATAAGCTCTTCATCGGAGGCCTGCCCAACTACCTTAACGATGACCAGGTATTGACCAGACACCAGACTAACTGTCCATGCTCTCAGGCTCCCTCACTTTTCTCTCAAAGGCTACGTTTTTTTGACACACCGAAAACTAGCCCAGAATTTGGTTTAGACTCTTTTTTTAAAAATAAAAACAAACGTGTGATAAGGCTTCCTTTAGGAGTCAAAACAGCTGAATTAAAGTGTGTCGTAGACTGCAAAAGGATGGAGTGTTTGAGCAATAACAAGCAAAGAATAACAACAAAGGAAAAAAAAGAACTGGATATCTTTAGGTCTTTGATTTAAATCAGTTGCTCATTAATCATATTTGAATATTCAGTGGTTATACCTTTCTCATGCTAAGCGTACTGATTTAAGAAAGGTAAGCAAAGTCTAGTATATTTTCATGAAAACCAGACAAAGTGACATGGAGTTCTTTCTGTTTTAAAGAAAAAGTCCACCGTAAGAAACTGTGAAGGAATAATGTTTTTGACTGGTAATTGTTGTTGCTTAAAACCTCAGGAACCTTTATATGCAGGTTTAATGAATAAAACTAATTACCAGAAGCCTGTAGGAAAGCTTTGTTTACCAGTGAAAGCCAAAGGTGGACTTTTCCTTTGAGAAAGAGTGAATATTTTCTCTGAGTTTACTCTCAGGTGGTAAATTATCATTAATTCTAACTGTCCATTCTGTCTCGTGGTTAACAGAGCACAAGCAGCCTGTTGTCTGTTATTCACTGACTCGTTTCTATGAATACTTAGTCACTTCCACTGCGTTGATACTCACAGCTCTTTCATTTTTGTCCCCCCACTTTGTCCCCAGCTAGGGGCCAGTAAGATCGTTAAGTCTGCGCTCATAATTTGTTCAGTAGTACTCATCTACTGCTGCCATGCCAACATGTAACACAAGGCAAGTAAGACATTCTGGTCCACACACGGATACACTGCGGGCCGGCAGGCTCCCTTTCTGGCTGCTTTCTCTCTCCCATCATGCTTTTCAAGCGCGCTTAGGACCCGGGCAGCTGCCGGGAAGGACAGCTGATCTGAGGGGATTAATGCAGGGGAAGCTTATTTAAGCTTTGATGTCGAGGTGAGAAGATGATGTGTTGACCTGCCGTTAGGTGGAATACAGCACAAAAACACCAACTTTAAACCTTTTTAAACTCCATTTACTGCACAGCCTGTCTTCCAAATATCTCGATTATCGCGATGACTTTACAGTCGTGTAAAAAAGGAAAACTAATTTTGTTATAATTTTTTGTTTATCAGGACATAATAAAATAAGAATTAATTTGCTCCCATGAAGGTGTAAAAATTAGGTAAATAAAGCCTCAGATAGTGATATAATTTATTGAACAGAAAACTCATCCATCCTCAGTCGAGGCCAAAGGTCTAAGTCATAGAGTAGAGCAAAGTGGATAAAGTTTGGCCCAAAAGCACCAACCAAACACAGACAGCTCAGAGCGGCTGTCAGCACGGTGGGGGAGGGATGATGGTCTGGGCTGGTGCTGCAGCATCAGGACCCCAACAAAACTCCTCCACAGACGTCTGAGAGCCTAAAGAAAAACAGAGTCACATGTCATGTTATTGGTCATCTGAGGCTTTATTTACCTGATTTTGAGCTCTGATTTGGACCTGATATTCTTAATTTGTCCTGATGGGTAACACAGCTACACAATCCAGATTTAGACCTTTAATTATTTTCAAAACGCGTCCTGAATGTTGATAAGAAAAAAATGTCCCATAATAAACTGATTTCTATTTTTGTCTTTCCTACTATTTTTTATTTTTTATTTTTATTTATTTATTTATTTTTTTACTATTATTTTACTACTATTTTTTTAAAACTAAAACTAAAACCCACTGGTGATTTAAACAGAAAAAGCAAGCAAATAATCCGCTAGACAATAAATGCGGCCATCATTTTTGGCAACTTTAAGGGCAGATCCCTGCACTTTTTTCCCCTCGCTTCCTCTCAAGAAAACAGCATAGTGTAAAGAAATGAGCTGAACTTTGTATTTATTCACATTTCCATTCACATCAATGGGTTAAACTGATTGTGAGGGTCAAATGGACATTTAGAATTCACTCAGCAGACGGACATACTGACGGGGAGGCTGATTCCCGCTCTCAGACCTGGCCGTCTGACTCTTGTTTTACAGGTTAAGGAGCTCTTGACGTCCTTTGGGCCGCTCAAAGCCTTCAACCTGGTGAAGGACAGCGCCACCTCGCTGTCTAAAGGTTACGCCTTCTGTGAATACGTGGACATCAGCGCCACCGATCAGGTAACGGAGCCCCTCTGTGTCTGCGTGATTAGATTAGATTAGATTAGTTTGCTCCCCTGGTCAGGGCTCTGTTTGCTCCTCCTCAGGCCGTGGCCGGGCTCAACGGGATGCAGCTCGGGGACAAAAAGCTGATCGTCCAGAGGGCGAGCGTCGGAGCTAAAAACGCCAATCCTGTGAGCTCAGAGGGATTTCTCATGAACCAAATCAGCCAGAACTCGAATTAACCAGTATTATTCTTTGTTTTCTGTGTAGGGGTCTTGCAGAAAGCCCCAAAAAATTTTGGTCTTTTTTATTTACCTGATGATTCGTTTAAGAAAACAAACATTTTCTGTTTATATGATGACGTTTAAAAGAGTTTAAATTATATTTTAACCTCAGCCGGCTTTGGATAAATGGCCACCTGTTTTATGAAGTTTTCTAAAAGAACTGACCAGCAAAAGGTCTGTATAGGTGTCTGGCAAAAAGCAACAAATGTTGTTGTTTTTTTATTTTATTTGATGATTTATTTAAGAAAACAGGGAAGAGAACACTTTCTGTTAAAATGCTAAAGTTTAAAAGAGTTTAAATTATACTTTAACCTCAGCCGGCTTTGATTTAAATAAATCATCAAATAAATTTAAAAAAAAATTTTTTTTGCTATGGATAAATTGCCACCTGTTTTATTAAGTTTTCTAAAAGAACTGACCAGCAAAAGGTCTGTGTAGGTGTCTTGCAAAAAGTAAAAATATGTTGTTTCTTTATTTATTTGATGATTTATTTAAGAAAACAAACACTTTCTGTTTAAATTATAAAGTTTAAAGGATATTTTAAACTCAGCTGGCTTTGTATAAATGGCCACCTGTTGTATGTGGTTTTCTAAAAAAACTGACCAGCAAAAGGTCTGTGTAGGTGTCTTGCAAAAAGCAAAATAATCTTTTTTTTATTTTTATGATTTATTTAAGAAAACAAACACTTTCTGTTTAAATTATAGCTTTATCCCAATGTACAGAATAGGTGAACATAAAAGCAAAATGTGGCGTGGTTTCAAACATTGCAAGTTAAAGATAAGCAACCTTGGTTTTGCTCCTCACATATCGAGAGGGGATCTGTTTCCAGAGTATTTATTTGTTTTAGCTCATTCCTGCAGAGCTCTCCCTCTGACTCGCTGCCCCCCCCCCCCACCTCCATCATAGAGACCCCGGTGACCCTGCAGGTGCCCGGGCTGCAGAGGCTGCAGACCTCGGGCCTGCCCACCGCGGTGCTGTGCCTTCTGAACATGGTGATGCCCGAGGAGCTGGTGGAGGACGACGATTACGAGGAGATCCTGGAGGACATCCGGGAGGAGTGCTGCAAGTACGGCAGCGTCCGCTCCATCGAGATCCCCCGGCCGGTGGCCGGCGTGGAGGTCCCCGGCTGCGGAAAGGTGCAGACGCCAGTCCAGACCTGTCCATGTTCAGAGGCAGCTTGGGTTCACACCGGTTGAGGTTTGAGTTGCTCGAGGGTTGATTTTATCCACGTTCAGAGGTTGATTTTAGTCCAAATCAGGACTCTTAAGCACTTTACAACAGCCAATTTTAGTCCAAATCAGGAGACTAAACACTTTAGAAAAGCCTGTACTAGGAAAGCTATTTAACTCATTGACTGCCAGAGTTTTTGGAGCATTTTGACTGATTTTTCAAGAGCCACAGAATAGTTTGTGCTATGACTATGTAAACACCGAACACACCAAAAGAAAGAGTAGACTCTCTTCTTTCATCAGGAAAAAAAATTTGTTTCTACCTTATTCCGTTCTTCCTCGACTTGCGTCTCACCGGCGACATGTTCTCTCATATCGAACCTTTACCTTTTTCTTATTTGCCTACAGTCTATGCTCATCTCCCATCAAAAGTGGCACTGCCACCTAGAGGGTCAATTTGTTACTACATATTCTGTCTAGAAGCCAGTAATAGGAAAGCTATTTAAACACTGATCTGGGATTTTCCCACTGCTTTCATGGAGACTTCTTTTTAAAGATAAATTAGCTCTAAATTAAGCAGAAATCTCTTTGTCGTGTAGAAGTTTTTCTGTTCTTTTGACACAATGAAGCCTGATCCTGTAATTTTGCCTTTTTTTGTCCTTAAAGAAAAAAAAACAAAATAGAAATCAACTTTTTTTTTAAAATTTGCATCCAATGTAATGCCTACTTTTTTGACAGTTTTTCCAATAACTAAAAATGGAAAATATTAATAAATACTAATAAACAAGAGTTTTTATTTAAGTTTTAACCATGCAGTCATAGCTCTCAGAACAAATGAAAGAATCTCAGAATCTACATTTATTCGTCTCTCTCCACCCTTTATTTCTCTTTTTCCCCCTTTCAGATTTTCGTGGAGTACGTTTCTGCTGCAGACTGTCAGAAAGCCATGCAGGCGCTCACCGGCCGCAAGTTTGCCAACAGAGTGGTGGTCACCAAATACTACGACCCCGACATGTACCACAGGCACGAGTTCTGACAGCCTTCGTTCTGTTTGTCGTTTAGACGCCACACCCGGAAAAAAGACTCTGCTCCTGCTCATTTTAACACCCTGGACCCCAGTGTGAGTTCCCTCAAAGCTGAATTACTCCTCGCCTTTGCCCAACACACAACCTGAAATAAGCCTGAAATGTACATTTGCAGTATCTAATCTGACGTGTATCTAATCTAACGTAATACTGCCTGACAGAGCCAGAATGCACTACTATAACAGAAAAAACAGTCAAATGTTTAGGTTTTCTTCCTTGAGCACAAAAAAAAGCCATCCTGGTGATTTTTATGTGGCTGCGCCAAATTTATATTTCATTATTAATTTATTTATCTGTTTATTTATTATCCCAAAGTAACATTTCCTGCTGAATGCGCCACGTTAGTGTTCATAAACCTATAAATGCTGTTAGCTGTGCCGCTTCTGTAGACAAACCGTCGACTTGTTTTGTCAGAATTTAAATGGATTTTGTTAGATTAACCTCTACAAAGGGACTTTTGTAAACGTAGAATAGTTTTTCTGAAAAAAAAATCATTTATTTGACTGGGAAGACTCTGCGAGCAGCATGAATTAGCAAAAAGACACGCGGGGAGATTCAATTAGAGCAGAACGACCGGTTCAAGCCCTCTTTGTTTGGATTTAAGTTGGAGCTTCTTAAAGTCAAAGAGGGATTCCTCATGGCTTCTTAAAGGTTTTTCAAAGGACCCGAGGCCCGTTATGGTCCGAGGCGGTAGCTGATGTTTGTTCGTGCAGATTCTCATTCACCAGGTCCTGGTGACCCTCATAGTCCTGAACTTCTGCTTGGATCTTAAAGGCGTTTCTCCTCTCAGCCTGGAGGATTTTTCAGCTCTAAGCTACATAGTGGAGGCTCAGCTTAAAGCAGCCCCCCAGACCATGAGTTAGCAATTCTACCTATAGATGGTCTAAATGTCTGAAAGGTGAGTTTTGGTCCCAGTCCAGGCTGGGAAACCTCCTGGGAGGAGCCAAAAGGTGATTCCTAAACCCCTTTCCTCTCTTAAAAAATGGCCCTCAAAGCATCCTGCTCTTCTGTTCAGATGTGGACATTACTGTCCTCCCAGGGTGTCTTCTCCCTCAGATGGAGAACTGCTGAGTCATGGCCTCCGAACTACCAGCTTCATAGTCAAAACCAACCACCACATCAAGCACATTTAAATAAAAAACCCAGATCCTATTAAGCTAACGTAGCTATTTAGATAAAATGAAGCTTTGTGAGGTGTTTGTGCATGTTAATGCATTCACACCGCTTCTGTAATTTTATCCAAACGTCAGGACTACTAGTTTAGTCTCTGCACACACACGACTTCCCCGGTGACTTTGAGAAGTACCATTCATTCAAACCTTTAAAATGAGCAGCTGAGAGCTGCTTCTGTCTTCAAGAAGACTGAAATCAAGCTGAATCAGCCCCCGTTTGAGTCCAAATCCATCTGAGCTCCTCGTTCTTAAACACCTGGTTCCCTTCAGGGTGAAGCAGGTGTGGCACATGTTGAGAAAAGCACCTGTAAATGATGTAGCTGGAGCACCGGTGAGGAGATTTATAAACATATATGAAATGGAAGCTTAAATTATCTATATAATGTTTAATCTGCAAGCCGATGATCCTGGAATGAGCCTCTGTTTCGTGTTTATCAGCGTAATAGGCTGAACATATCAACTCATGATAAACTACTGTATTTTATACGATTTTTGAAGAGCCGAAAAGGTCTGATTATTTTTAGTTTGTACAGTTCTGCCACTGCCATTGCCTTGAATAAATGCTTGCCTCCACTGTCTGGATGCTGATGTGCCTTTATTTCCAGCTAATTATATCTATTAATTGAGTTGTATTTTCCAAAAACGATAAGGGAGGGCTGTTTTTTGTCCTTAAAAAAAAAGAGATTTTCCTCTTTTTTTTAAGGACAAAAAACAGCTCTCCCTTTACATGTTTGAATATTTCAATCATTATTTTCTAATGCGATTTCATTTTCATTTGTGACTAGATTTGCCTTTAAAACCAGCATTTCATGTATCAATCAGCATCCATATGTTCATATAACTTTTCCTTTTTTTTTAGGTTGTTTTTTAATTCTCAAAAGGCTTATATGTACGATTGTGCTGCTCACTGCAAAGCTGTATATCTACAGTATATAAAGTGCACATTTCTTGAGAATAAATGCATGAACATAGTGTTTTCCATCAGTTTTGGGACAAAAGTGTCACAGCTACCAGCAGAAGAGAGGGGGGCAGAAACTATTGATTTGTTTCATACTGTAACAAGCAAAACAAAGCTGAAACCACCAAACAGAAACCAGAGTAGAATACAGTGTGACAACAGTGATCATACAGAAAGTAGTGAGAAAGGAGTCAACCAACCAAGGATCTGAATGTAGAGGAGGGTGATTGCTGAGAGGAGGCAGCTGAGGAGCACAGGTGGAGGGAAAGGAGCTGATGACCATCCAGGAGGGGCCTCAGGAAACCATAGGAAAACACAAATAATTTTCTATAAAAAATCACTAACACTTCAAGAGATGAAGGGACATCACTAGCTTTTGCTACCAGATGCCTAACAGGAGCCAGCAAAACTGAGCACATAACTACCCTAAAATGTTCTAATTTGAAATGTTTACTTTGATTTGATTCAACACTTTTTAGGTTAAACTCAATACTACTTTTTCCTTGTGCCATTCTTTCGTCAAATTTTACTGCACTGTTTCCACTTTGTCTTTCCATTTAATCACTTTTCTGCCGAGTACATGTTTAAATCTCTTACGTGGATTACTTTCATGTTCATGCTTTTGTAAAGCACTTTGAGTCACCATGTGTACCAAATGTGCTGTAAAAACAAACGTGATTCGCTTGTAATTACTTCTAATGGACAACAGGTAGCGCTAATTGGACATTTGGTTGCTGGGGAAACTTCTCCGACATTTTGATTATATTAAACAAATATCAAACTCAAATTGTCTTTATTTATTAGCATACATTAAATAGTATCTGCTACATTCATTTTTGTTATTTTCAGCATAAGTAAAATTTTGTATTGTTTTGGGACCGGATACGCAGTGGTAATTTATACGTGACGTCAGACGACGCGGCCATGACGCCGGTCGTCAACAGCCCCGGTTTGACAGATGTTCGTCGGGGGGAAAGTCGCCTCCATTCAGCGCCGAGCAGCGGACGACGGCGGCGGAGGCTCGCTTTTGGATTGTTTTTCGCCGCACCGACTGAAACATGTCCGGGGAAAAGGCGACCACCTCCTGCAACAAGTTCCAGGCCAACGTGTTTAACACGAGCAAATGTCAAAACTGCTTCAAGTCCCGCGAGCTGCATCTCCTTGGCGACCGCGACGTGGAGCAGGTACGTGACCGTTAAGAGGATGCAACCGTTACCGTTAACCCCCAACCGTTTCACGTTTAAAAACTCTCACTCATTCATTGCAAACCTTTGTCAAAAATTGGCATTCACAGTTTTTTTTAAATACATTTTTAGGTGAATTCATATGTAAAATACCGAGTAAACGCGTTTCATTAAAAAAAAAAAAAAAGAATTTGCTTGATAATCGATGGAGAAATTGAAGTTACTTTTGGTTCATTTATTAGCCCAAAGAAGGGATTCTTTGACTGTTTTACTTGCAAATGAATGTTTAAATACTTCTAGAGGATGTTTTCATGAACATGATGAGTAGCAGAAACTTTTCTTTGAGAGTGCCAACAACGTCATTGTTAAAAGGATATTATGGATATTTTTAAATTGGAGAGTGATAAATCAATTACACCAAAACAGTTTAAATTAATAATAAACATTGGGTTATAAAATTATCCTTTCAACATTTAGTTTGAAAGAAAATACACTTAATAAGACTTCTTTAGTGATAAACCTTCCCCACAAAATTACCCAAAATTAAAACATGCATTTTGGACCTCATTGTCTGGGCAAATGAAGACATCATCTGGACATGGATGAAGGTTTAAATTATTTAAATATTGACTTTAAAGACAGTAAAGATACTGACTCAGTGCAACACGGTAATACTTTCAAATGGAAATAAGTTCATTTTTAGATAACAGAGAGAGAAACCCTCCCTCATTTAATGGATTCCTTTGTCAACTATATCTAAAAAGAACAAACTCACAGCTCTCAATTAAAATGTCTGGGTTTAATCTGAGCTGTATTTGGCCCCTAAAAGCTTTTTGACGCTTTGTGCATCCATATTCCCAACATTTTATAATAAACATTAGAGTATTTCATCTTCATTTAAACCAGGTTTCATCAATCAGTGGATATAAGTTTTGGGGAAATTTCTTTATGAACAAGCTGCCCTAGTAGCTGAACAAAGTGATGTGTGTCTGTGAAAGTGTTTTTATAGCTTCATTTGTCACATCTGAAAAGCAGGTGATAAAAATCCTGTGGCTTCCAGGACGGGAAACCAAGCTTCTGCATCACCCAGACGGCAGCTCCCCCAAGACAGCTAATGATTATTAAGATTTGTCAAACCTCCTCATCTGTTCTAAATCTTCAATCCTTTGATTATTCTAAGAACTGAGAAGTAAAATCACCAAGTGCTGTAGTGTAAAAAGTCCTTTGTTCAGCGTCCCGGAGCAGCAGAATTATCGTCAGCCGAGTGCTCTTAAAGTGTTGAGCGAACAAAGTCTTCTTTCAGACTAAAGACGCCTACTGCTTTGCTGCATAATTAGATTAACACTGGAGCAGGATAAGGAGTTTACACCGTTAACTGTGGCTGGGTTCGCTGTGTTGAGGAGGCAAAAATACATTTTCAGCCTCTACTGGACTTGGATGGATGTCAAATATAGTTTCTGACGCAGAACGTGGAGTATCTGAAACGGGTATTTGAATTGTTACCCCATAAGCACCTCCTTGTTTTATTATTTATAAATCTGTTCAGTCATTTTGCTTTAGATTATCGAAAGAGACGAGTGCTTTTTGAATTCCTGAGAAGCCCTAAGCAGTGGTTTCTGTCTAAAAACAACCAGCTGAATGTCCGTTAAATGGTGAAAACAATGAAACAATGATGCTCTAACCCTACATTTCAGCAGAAATATTTATTTTGCACGTGTTTGCTCTCCGCCCTTTTAAAACCTGGTGCTGCTGGCCTGTCATGCACAGGTGATGTGAGGAGACGTGCTGCATGCCTCGCATTGTTGCAGTATGCTATCACAGCCCGTGCCTGGATCCCCGCTCTGTAATTACCGAGCTCAGTTTTACTCTGACAGAGCTGGAAACGGCTCTGTTTTTTCACGTGTTTACCTTTCAGAGAGAATCACCTGACGCGTGAGGCTTCAGGACGTCTGGGTTTGTGTAGATTGAGAATCTTAATAAGTGATGTATTCAGTCTGAGCGGCTTTCCATTCGCTTATCAGACCAAGAAAACATCTACATGTGAGAGTCTGAAGGCCAGGAACAAGACTTTTGATGGCTTTCGGTTGTCTCAACCGTCAGTTTAATTATTTTAGTTTGCACTAACAGTCAAGTGGAGACCAACAGATTTCCCAGATTATAATAAAGAAACAAATTACTGTTGTTTCTAACTCATTCAGACAGGCTTCTGTGCTCTGATCTGGAAGACTGTTTGTCTGGAAATGTTGATGTTCACCTTCACCAGAAGTCAACAGTTCGTTTGCTGCTGATTGGGTTAATCATACCAATAATTAATATATTCTGATAAGAAAACTGAAGGCTGTAGTAAATCAACATTTTCTGCTTTCTCCTTTAAAATATGATAATTTCCCGCTCATGTTGTTTGATAATGATTCTCATTAAAAATCGACGTTCGGCTTTAAGGGAATTAAACGTTTTAAATAAAAAGTAACATTTCGAGCAGCCCAAAGATCAGAGAAGAGAGAGAGAAGAGAAAAAGAAACCTTCCCTCTGTTTGAGGGCCCTGGTGCCTCAGCGGGTTTGGCAGGTTGTGAGCCTCCAAAGAGTCGTCTGTATTTCTGTCAACAAGCGACATCCAAAGTAAATGAAAGGATGCTTCATCTGAACGACACCTCATTGCACACTTCCTGTGTTGGCCCTGATGTGTATTTTTACCCTGAAATAATGTTTGCTGTTGTCTTTCCCGCCAGGCGAAGCCCATCTACTGCAGCTGGCTGTGTTTGGCCCCGGTGGGCACAGACTTCGACAACCCCGTGCAGCGCTCCCGGGTAAGACTTTAGTGGGTTTCAGCCCCCTTCCCCCCAAAACCAGCGGTGTGGTGACTCTGTTCCTGTGTTGTGGTGTCAGAAATGGCAGCGGCGCTTCTTCGTCCTGTACGAACACGGCAGCCTGAGCTACGCCCTGGATCAACAGGTGAGAAACTCCCGGTTGGGACCGGCTTCACTAGTCCCGTGCAGGGCTCAGGCGGCCATCTTTAGGCCAGATGTTGTGTGCAGAACCACGGCAGATGCTTTTGGCTTAGCCGCTTCTTTAATGCCGCCCCCTCTTCCTCGCTGTGATCCCCTCCGTTTTAATTCCCTCATCCCTCATTCCCCGAGCTGCCTGCTGTTCAGCTGCCATTAATCCGGCTGTCAGTCTTGGCTTGGAGTCGCAGTAAACATGATTCTTTAAAGGGGACATATTATGCAAAACCAAGTTTTCAATCATTTGATTATGTACATTTGGGACTGTGGAGGGCCTATCAGCAGGCAAAGTGTGAAAAAAAAAGACTCATTTTTGTGGGCTGCCTCAGTCTGAATCCAGGAGATAAATCAGGAGGTTTCAGGAGTGGGTAGTTTCTGACGTCATTAGCTCTAGCTCATTATAATATTCCAGCCTTTCACCTGCATGTTGCCCCCCCCCCCTCAGCTTACTCCGCCTATCTGTGGCAGACGTCGTGGTAGCGTGAGCGTTAGCATGGTAGCGGTAGCATGGTAGCGTTAGCGTGCCGACATGGGCACACCTCCCGGAAGAAGTGGGTGGATTGCCTGTGTCTCATTTGCATTTAAAGAGACAGGCACTCCAAAGCGAGCGCTCTGAACGGGGCTGTTTTGGCAGGGGGACTGAACTGCTATTGGGCTTCATCCTTATGGGATTTTGACCAAAGCTTGTCACAGACATTACATTAGGACACCAGGGAACTAGTTTAACTTGTTGAAATAGGGTATTTAATGTGCTGTGACCCCGGTGCTCTGGTTCTCCCGCAGCCCAGCACGCTGCCTCAGGGGACGGTCAGCATGAGTCTGTGCACAGATATCTCCGACGCGGAGTCCCGGACGGGCCAGAGAAACGCCCTCTGCATCAAAACCCCGGAGCAGGAGATATTCATCCGCGGTGACAACAAAGAGATCATTAACGGGTCAGCACCCCCTCCCACTCCCCCTCCACTGAGACCTTCCAGGAGCTTTAAGGGTTGTGTCGGCCGCCTCTGACCGGCCGGATGTCTCTGTCCTTTTCAGCTGGAGGGAACAGCTGTCCGCCTACCTGCGCACAAACAAACACAGCCAGAAGAAAAAGCGGAAGGTCGAACCCATCGCCAATCAGGTAGCTTAAAAAATGCCCGCGGTTCACACTTAAACATCAGATCCGGCGTTTTATTTTTTTTTTGTAGATATGTTTATTGATTTTTTTTGTTTTAATAATAACAACAAAAACAACAACAAAACACAAAACAAAAGCTCAGCAGTGCAGTCCAGAGATAAGAGGAAATATAAGATGGGGGGCATACATACTTCCATCGTTGTATAGTACACATCTAAACATTCATAAATGCTCGAGACAGGATGGTAGACACGTGTCCTTCAGCATAGTCCAGGAAGGGCTTCCATATGCGTCCAAAAATGTCAGTCTTAGAGTGGACGAGGCATGTTAGAAAGTCTAGACTAGAGGGATATATTCCAAAGTGAGCTTCTTCCACCCAAAAATTGTAGGAGATTTATTAGAAATCCATTGTAAGATCCGGCGTTTTAATTGGCTATTTTCAGGCTGTTTAAAATTATATTGAAACATGAAACGGAATGAAATAAAAAATTAAACAAGGGTTTCCATTTTTAGGAGCCAAGCCCAGCAAAGATGGCCGCAACCGATCTGAGCTTTGCGCCCACTGAAGGAGCCTCAGAGGGGACCCTGGTCAGAAACAGCACGGACCCTCTGGGTCCGGAGTGGATCCCTGCCGGTACAGCACAAGTCCAACACTCTCCGCCAATCACAGCCACTGTCCTAACACCCTGCAGACGTCCACACACTTGCAGCCTTTTATTTGGACTCTGTGCTTCAGCCCCGTGGAGCGGGTACAGACCCGCTGCCGTGGGAACTGGCAGGAGGAGTTTGTTGTTTGAACAGGATGTAGACTTACATAAACACAGCGACAGAAACGCAGTGAGAGATGAGCAGGAAATTCTGAGTCTCTGACCCTCAGGCATCATTAAAGCCAAACTGCAGACATGATCCATAAAAGAGCTCTTAAACGAGTTCTAAAAGCTGGGCAGTGGGGTGGTTTCCCCCCTCTGCTGTGACAAAGTGGACACCAGCACCCATCTGGCTCCAGACTTAAAGCAGGTCTGATGTCTGCTGCTGCCTCAGGCTCCATCAGAGGAAGAACTGCTCAGTCCCTGTGTCTGCCTCCGTCTCAGTTCTTACCCTCACATATTAGCTACTTACTACTTCCATAAAATTCAGAAATCTTGAATCAGGTTTGTTGAGCACAGCCTTAATAGAAATCTAGACCTAGAAATCTGAACAGAAAGTCTGAAATCTACATTTTTAATGAATGTCATCGTGTTATTTCTGGTTGTAGAGTTTTTCCTTTAGTGGTTTGAATGGGGATTAACAGCAGTTTGAAGGACTTTTTACAGGATTTAAGAAGCTTTTCTCTTCAGTTGTTATGTTCTCAGTCCCTCCAGCAGAGGTGGAGTGAATCCAGCCTTATTTCAGATCCAGGCAGAGCTTTCCCTCAAAGGCAGTTACCAACATGCCGCCAACATTTAAGGTTTTCAAATGGTTTTTAGCTCTGAGGTTTTCAGAAACCCTTCAGGTTAGACAAGGCTTTTTTTAGCTTTGGAATTGCATCTTTCTCTGAAGGTGTTTAGCAGGTTGGCAGAACCTGGATCGTCTTTTTGACTGAAGGCCCGAGCAGCATTTCCCAGGTTAGAGGATGATCACTGCTTTATGGGTTAGGCCCTTCTCTTCTTCCTTGTTAGCTTGTGGCTGTTGCACAAACATGTGAAATGTCAAAGAAGTTTGGTTATGTTTTCAGTCAGGATTACGTCTAAACATGTGTTCCTCTCTCCTGTGCTGATGTCCTCTTTGTCGATTCACGATGATGTCACTGTTATTAGTCTGTGAGCCGAGTCTAAACAAAACGATAAATGGTTCTGTTGATGTTCCCATGGGAACATTACGCCTACCCATCAACAAGAGAAACCGTACCTCTAAAAGTCTGCACGCGATATACTTAACAAAAACTAAGACAAAACGGAGAAAAGTGGGAAAACGAAATCCCCCCGTCGACCGGGCAGCTGGTAGGAGCTCCTTTAGGAGCGGGAAGCGTCTGGATGACGTTATCGTTCCTTCACGTGGTTTTGGAGGAATTTTGGCCCACTCTTCCAGGGTTACTTCAGATCTTTGACATTTGTGAGTGTGGACTTCAACATTCTGTTCATGTTGTATTTACCTCGTTTCCCGACCTGTTGCAGACCAAAAGAAGGGAAAAGAGTATCCTGTAAGGGGTCACGTCAGGATGCTGTTGGGACGAAAAATGATCTAAAAACATCTTATACACCATCTGCTATTTTTTCCCCCAATATTTTTATTGATTTTTTTGCATTGCATAACAATTCTAAATAGAACATTAACACATAACACCCCCCCACACACACACAGACCTAGGCTAAACCCGCAAATTTCACCTATATACAACTTAGCTTAAGAAATGTATACATTTGAAATCAAGTACTCCAATGTAATAAGGATCCCGCTAAAAAATATAATGAAAAACAAATAAATGAAACATAAAAAAATACAGAACAACTTAGAATAAATAAACATTATATCTCAGACTCGATAATGCTCATACACCATCTGCTATTTAAAGGTCCAGTGGAGGATATTTTTATCTGTTTTGTGATGAAGGTGCAAACGGATAAGGCTTTTAGTTTAGTGGCAGAGACTCTGTATTTCTTCCTTCCTAAAACAGACACAGACACATTATGGTGGATTGGTCTCCCTGCCCTGCGGATACAAACCTCATAAGCCCTTTCTGTGATGTGTTTTCCCCCCCAGGCAGCGGCCCTCCGAGCAGCTCTGCCTTCGACTCGGTTGTTGGGAGCTCCGGACAGATTCAGGGCGAGGACAGGAGGTAGGAGAGTAATCTGTGAAGGGGGTTTCTGTTTTCAGCAGGTTTCAGAACAATGTGGGTGAATCTGTGACGGAGCCGTGGGATTCCGAGCAGTATGGTTTTTATTTTCTCTCCTACGTTTCCATGTAATCTCTGGGTGACGCTGACAGCCACTTAAAGAGGGAAAAAGGGGTAAATGTGCAAGCAATTAGCACAAAGAACATCCCCTGTGCCCCCCCCCAGCATGAAGCCCAACACACTGCTAAACGGCAGATCAAAGGGCCCCGCTACCCCTCCATCAGACATCTGACCGAAAGCTTTTTAAATTTAGCTGCAACAAACCCTCCCAGTTTGTTCCCCAGCAGCAGGGGAACGGCTCACATGAGGAGGATTCATGTCAGCTCTTCACTCTCGTTGCCTTTTTGGGAAACAAAAACACAAAATACTTATCCCCCCCCCAAATAAGGCCATAAATTCCAAAAGGCTGGTGTAATTAGATATCTGCTGCCTTGTTTCTCATGACCTCAACGCTGACAGTCCGCATGCCTGTCAGAGAGTAGAGCTCAGTCCACGCTCGGTTTTTGGGGTTTGGAGGTTCTGCTGGGACCCCTGTGACCCGCTCAGAGACAAACTCAGACAGGTTTTCCTCACTTTGGTAGAAGGCCACAGCTTTTATGTTTATGTTTATGCATTTGACAGACTCTTTTATCCAAAGCGACTTACAGAGTAGACACAATATCACATTTATCATCGCTATGACAATAAGCTAAACAGAGGAGAACACTCATCAGAGTCAGTGGTGAGATAGAGATAGAGGTAGACGGACTACAGAAGGAGCTGTGGGGGATAGAGGTTTTATACACTGACCTCCATCTCCGAGGGACAAACCCCTTTTTACTGCTGTGGGATGTTCACATAAACGATCAGCATGGGTTTATCTTCCGATGTTAGATTCGTGCTATGACTAGTACTGATGGTATCGGAACAGGAGAGGCAGACTAGTGTTTTCCACTGAACCGTGCCTGACGGTTGTAACAGAGCGAACCGATCCGCCGAGCATTCAGAGCGTTGATAGTTGATTATTGCATGGTGTTTGGTGACTGGGGAAACTCTCCGTGCAGCTTTTTCCGCCGGTGCTCTCAGTCTGTGACGCCTGCTGTCATCCTGCACAAAGCGCCTCTCGCTAGTCTCTCAGCAGCAGTTTTTCTTCTGCACAGGTGCTGTTTAGGGCTCATTATCAGGCTCGGCATTTTACAGGTGTTACAGGAAATGATGAAGGAGCTGACACACACACACACACACACATACTCACACACACACATACTCACACACACACACACACACACACACACACACTCACACACACAAACAGCTTGTTTGTTCTCAGGAAGATACCTTCCAGGAAGTTTGTTTTTGAGCTGATGCCTTGACAGGCATCAACACTGGTATTTGTTCAGTGGCATTTGCTTTTCTGCAGGGGGGGGTGCAGTGCATTCTCAGATTGTAATGAAAATGAAACCATGTCATCATGTCTTATTTGTTCATTTATTTTCTAATTATTCTCAGCTATGAAGTCCAAACCAAAAACTTGGTCAAATGAAGAAGACGGTGCTGTGGACTGAGATCTTAAGTCATTTCTTGTGTTTTCAGGTCTGCAGAGCCGGTCACCAGGAGGGAGCGCGTGGGGGGGACAGGTGTCCCCAGACAGGGCCGGATGGAGACCCGCACCAGCAAGAGAGAGGTAACCACGCCACACCCACCCACCATGGTCACCACCACCACAACCCGGGCAGGTCGAGGTGTCGGGCAGAGGCCACTCTGCTGGATCTGATTATCTGAGTGGCAGGTCAGACGGGTTCTGACATATTTCACCACTTTGTTTATGTTTATGCATTTGGCATTTGACGCTTTTCTCCAAAGCGACTTAAAGAGTAGACACAGTATCACATTTATCATCACTATGACAATAAGCTATATAGAGGAGAAACACTGATCAGAGTCAGTGGTGAGATAGAGATAGAGGAAGAGGGACTACAGAAGGAGTTGTGGGGGGGATAGAGGTACGGGTTAGGGTTAGGATAGGAGCTGGGGGGGGTAGAGGTACGGGCTAGGGTTAGGATAGGAGCTGTGGGGGGATAGAGGTACGGGTTAGGGTTAGGATAGGATATGATCACCTCAAAGTGAGAGCCAGAGGGAGTCTCCCAGTTCCTCCAGGAGCTCTTCCAGTTCATGGAGCATGTTGTCATTCTTCTTACATGTGACAATTTGTAACTCCAGTTATGTTTGCTTTTCATAGTCTTAAGAGAGCCTGTTTGTTTTTGGGTTGCATGATTCCGGATTTATGTAACACCCCGTGGTGTTATGTTTCAGCCAGTAAACGACCGACCAGTTCAGCTTGTTCTGACATACAAATATTTGCTTTATTTCTACTAATAACACGAGAAGCTGGATGCCAAGGCAGTGAGCGGACACCTAAAATCACACCGATGCCATATCTGGCTGTTCTGTGGAAAAAGCCTGATGTCATGTCATTTCCAAAGAGCCCCTCTCATGTCTAATCGGTGCATTTTTGTGCTGGTAGATGCAACGGCTTACTAACGTCAGCGTCTGAGAATAAAAACCGAATACCTGACCGAGCTTGTTTGTTTCCAGATGACGGTAACAAACCATGAGCATGTAGTTCTGACTAATGCTGCTGTGGTTGTGTAATGATTAAGACCAGTTACTGTGTCCAGCTGGACTCAGACTGGCTCTGGCTGTTCTGGATGAGAGATCTCACTTTACCTCTGAGGCTCAGACCTGATAAAACTCTCCTCCGGCTAATTGGATCAGTGTGTAAACCAGAGACGGACCCGATCCATTCAGTGTCGTCCGTCTTTAAAGTTTTCATTCAGTCCATGCTGCTAAAACCAGACGATGAGAGCTGATCTCAGACGTGTTGAAGGGTGAAGCCCGATGTGTCGGGGCACGTTTGTCCCCTGCGTGTGTCGGCAGGTGGGAGAGCGGCGCTGAATCATCCGGCGCCGCTTTCTGTTTGGGAACAAAACTGGTTTTGATGCCCTGAAGGCGTTCAGCCCACCTGCCGCATTCCTCCTCACGGCTTCTTTCCAGGGATTCCTCAGAAGTCAAACCCGGTCCGGTTCGGTGGACCTCTGAGTCCGAGTGAGCGTCTCGAACCTCCTCTGAGATGTTTTAGTGTCACACGATGGCTTCTGTTTTACGGCCGAGCCCACAGAAAGTTCCCAAACACACGGAGTCCCCGTTAGCTGCTCTCGGCTGCACATCTGTTTGTGAATCACAGCCTTTTGTGTGTTTCTGGGCCTGACCCCGGTGATTAAGTTGGTGAGTAAGCCCTAACAAGTGTCTGTGTGTTACAGTATCCACAAAACACAAAACATTCATCAGAAACTTCCCACTGGGTGATCCATCAGAGAAGATCACAGCATCTTCAGACTATTCTGTTTCCTACAAGTGATTTTAGTTTTTATGGTGACGTTTGCTCCCAGACGCGCATCATCCTGGGAAAGGGTTGAGAAATGAACCCGCCGTATGCAGCATGCTGTACGGCACCAATGAGCTCAGATTTTCCACAACTAAGCAAGAAGGACGTCATTTAGTCCAGCAGGCTGCAGAGGCTACGGGCTGGGATCAGTGAGCAGTCGTTTCAGAACATTTGGTGTAGATTTTTTGTTTGTTTATTTGTTTATTTATTATTAGGATCCCTATTAGCTGTGCTTTACACCCAGCTACTCTTCCTGGGGTCCACATCATTAAAAATACAGTATACAATGCAAATTCATGAACAGGTTTGACAGATGATAAATATCATAAACATATCAATAAGACTGAACATTCATAGAAAAGGGGAAAGTTACAAATTGAAATTTAAAATGTTAACATTTTATGAATAAGTTACAATAAATTAAAACATGAAACTATTTCATTTATAGATAAGTTGCTCCTAAAAACTTCTTAAGTTGCATTTTAAAAGCAGACTTATGTACAATTTTTATGAGAATTAATGGCAATGAGTTCCATTCTTTCATTGCTCTGTAAGTAAGGCCTCCCCTTTTCAAAGAGCTCCAGATCTACTCTGAGCCCCTTCCAGATGACCAAGCTAGGTGAGGATTGGAATAGGAATCAACATGCAAATTGACAGTTTCTCCTTCCAGCTCAGCTCTCATCATAAAACACCTGTCAGACGCTGAGATCAGCACGTTACTACAGATCAAAATGGACTGCCAAGACTAGTTTCTATTGTGGGAGAGTAAATCCCTTTAAGGGATGTAAAGGAAACTCTATGTGAATGAAAATCATGAAACATAATCAGCAATTTTTCAGGAAGTTGAAAAAAATATCATTATGTCAGTCTGACCAAAACCAGACATTTTAAAATGTGCAGCTGAAGTCAATCTACATAATTAAATACAAACATTATTTGTCAAAGTTTAACAATTAAGTCCAATAAGGAGTCTGGGAGCATTCTGCATTTTGGCATCCTTTCTTTTCGTAACAGTGTTAGCATCTCTTCTATTCATTTTGATTTATTTTATCTTTTTTTTAACCTGCTAATGTCCCAGTTTGTCTGTGTCTTATTGCTCTTGGCTGTTATGGCAGTTTTAAATCGTTCAGCCTCTCAGGTAACCTCATAAACACTGTAACCCAGGGCAGGAGAAGGTCAGAGGAGCCTGTCCAGAGATTCCCAGAACAGCTTCTTCCTTTCCTCCCCTCCAGGCCTCTCCATTCAGTTGAGATGAGCTCTGTTTGAGGCGGTCAGTCAGGGAGCTGTGTCCCTCTCTCTGTTGTGTCCTTGGATAGTTTTCAATGTAAATGCAAGAAAAGAAAAGTACAAAGGAGGTTCTGTGTAGATTAAAGTGGTCATTTTTTCTCGTTAAAGTGGTTATGTAAGAGAGAAGAATGAATCTTTTGAATATCAGAGGCCCAAGTACAAAAAAGTGCTCCCTTGTTCTGTTTAATGCTGCGTAATCCCGACCTGAAACGGACCGATACGCACTGTTGGAGCCACTGCGAAACGGGAGACTCGTTTTAAAATGCAGGACGAAAGCTGCATCCTGTCAGACACCATTTACTCTCTGAAACCTTTTCACATCCAAATCCACATCCAAATCTAATCATCTGTGTGCAGTCTGCTCACGATGTGGGTGAGGCTTTAACAGAGCTTAGAGCCGTTTGGGCTCCCAGCAGGCCTAATCCTTAAACCGAGTCTCTGCCAAGCCTCCAGCAGCCGGTTTCTCCGGCCGATGGCATGCGGGCTGCATCCCGACTTGGGAAACACTTCACGTACAGTGGGGGAAATAAGTATTTGACCCCTTGCTGATTTAGCAGGTTTGCCCACTTACAAAGAATGCTTATTTTTCCTCATCAGATGGTTATCAATTTTTATAAATTCATATGATGTGATTTTCTGGAATTTTCTTTGGGATTCTGTCTTTCACTGTTACAATGAACATGTGATTAAAGTTATAGATCGTTGCATTCTTTGTAAGTGGGCAAACCTGCAAAATAAGCAAGGGGTCAAATACTTATTTCCCCCACTGTATCTGCTTCTGTGAAACCCTGAGTCTGACAAAAAGAGGTCTTAACTCCAGCTCTTCAATCATGGCCGTTTTTTTTCCCCCCTCCTGCAGAAACTGCCATCGTGTGCAGACGTGGTCCAAACGGAGGCCCCCCCCCCTCAGAGAAGAGCCAAATCTCTGGACCGAAGGACCTCAGACACGGTCATGACGGTAAGGCACCGCAGAGATTCACAGATAGGACGCTTAACTAAAGGAAAACGGGGTGAGAGTTCAGGACCGAGGAGCCTCAAGTTCAAGAGCTGCTAGTTCACGTTTATATTTCCAGGAAGCGGCAACTGGAAACCGTGTTTTTATGGTGGTTTCTATGGAAGCATTTTAGCGTTTTACAGTGGAAGGCAGAGGGAACACAGAGTACAGGTTACTGTTTTTACTCACCCCTTATCAAGATTCAATCGACAAGATAAAGAGTTCAAAAAGCTTAAAACTTTTGTTTTAGGCTGCATTCCAGGCTGATTTGATCCCCCAAAAAATGGATTTGCTCATCAGCAAATTAAATTTTCCTTTCATTTCGTGGATCTACATTTACAGTCTTAAGATAATTAGCAAAAGGTATGAAGTCATCCTCCCCTCCTCTTCTTCCTTCATAATTTTTGTGTCTCCTCCGTCCTTCCACCTCTGATCCAGAAATGGTTAAAATATTTTGAGGGATGGAGGAGACACTTTGAGAAGGAACCATTAAATTATATTTAAAAAAATTCTCTGACATCTGGAAGTGGCATGACGTGAATCCCACGTTGAAGCATAACTATTCAAGTTATATCTGCAACATTTTTATTACAGCCGGATTTACTGAACTTCAAGAAAGGCTGGATGGTTAAACTGGAGGAAAATGATCAGGTAAAGTAAGAAAAAAAAAAAGTGTTTTCAAGGGTTTCCCTGAAATCAGATGTTTTCATTTCATTAAAATGTCGTCTGCTCCCTCTAGTGGAAGAAATACTGGTTTGTGCTCTCGGCGGACAGTCTGAGATACTACAGGGACCCCTTAGCTGAGGAGGTAAAGCCCGTTTCTCACAAACTCAAAGAGAAACTGTCACCTGCTCTCTAATGCCTCAGTGTCTCCCTCCTCCTCTTTCAGGCCTCAGATCTGGAGGGTGAAATCGACCTAGCAAAGTGTTACAGCGTCTCAGAGTATCAGGTGCAAAGGAACTACGGCTTTCAGATCCACGTAAGACCTCATTCCGGCTGCTGTCTAATCCAGTGTTTTTCAACCTTTTTTGACCCTAGGTAACTTTTTTCATTGAAAAAATCACGAGGCACACCACCAACCAAAAATGTCAAACAAATCTGTAGCCGCCTATAGTAACACTATAATTATTCTTATTTTATCCTTATCTTATTTTAAGTGTCTTGAATAGGAATCAAATAAACACAAAAATGTATTTTTATCACATTTTATATTTCTTCTTTTAAATTGCTCTTAACATGTCCACTTCAATATACAAAATTATATACAAAATCTAGTCATAAGGAATTATTACATGATTACTCCACCAGTCACTAGAACAGCACAGACACTCAAAAATGGCATACTATTTGCAGATAATTAATTCCTTATCAAAAAATCTTTTTAGACCAATTATATGAAATGGGATGATATTCTACAGCACACCTGACCATCACACTAGTGTGCCGAGGCACAGTGGTTGAAAAACACTGGTCTAATCTGCCGAATAAACAAGTCTTTCAGTGATACGTTTAAATGTCGCAGACTCTGAGGGGCGTCTTCACGCTGTCGGCCATGACAGCAGGAATCCGCGAGAACTGGATCCAAGTGCTGATGAAGAACGTGCACCCAGCCAACGCCCCTGATGTCGCCAGGTGAGCGGCCACAGTTTCCTCAGCAGCAGCTAATGTTCAAGTTACTCCGTTCTGAAGATCTGAACGGATGCTCAACTGACTGGTCGAAGAGTTAAAAGACATAGAATTAAACCCTTTAAAGCCCGATCCAAGAAAAATAGGATGAATATTGGATTTTTTGGAAGTCTTTCTTTGGCCCCTCAACAACATATGAAGAAAAAAAACAGGAATTGTTTTGATCAAATTGGCGTGCAATAAGTCAAAGATATATTTTGGTGTAGTCTTCTACTGGCTGTTATCAGGTATATCTGAATGTGTACAACAGGGGTTTGAGCAAAGCTTTTATCACTGAATGATGCAAAAAGTCTCAGATCCAAAAGACTTCAGAAACCGTACGTATCAAATATGATACATTTGGCATTATAGGGTTAATTTATTATATGTCTTATAATGAAAAGGTCCTCAGAGCTCCCAGACGCTTTGAAAATACTTTTTAAAAAGATCTTTATATTCAGCCAATTGTCCAGAACTTTCTTTAAAATGCTCCATATAGTTTTAAAATAGACCTCCTAGTTCCACCCTGGATAATTTCTGACCTTCTAACCCCTTTGGTGTATTCTCAGTTTACCCGGCCCCCCCGAGGTCCTGCCCAAACCAGATGTGACGCAGGACTCTGACGTAATCACGGACCGACGCCCCCCCGCCAAGCCCCGGAGCCTGAAGGAGGAGAGGCAGGACGGAAATCACACAGCCTTCGACTGGGCCGAGTTCAGGCCTCAGGCCAAGCTTACGGCGGAGGCCGAGAGGCAGGAAACCGGCCCCCCGCGCTCCCTGGAGCTGGACTACCAGGAGAGGCGGAGGAGGCGGGAGGAGAGGAGGCAGCGGTACGAGAGAGAGCTGCTCATCTCTTTTGGGCGGGAAGAGAGCGGGGAGAAGGTGTCTGATGGCACCGAGCGAGCTCTGAGTCCAAAGTCCCAGCGGAGGGTGGAGGAGGAGATAGAGGAGTGCTGGAAGCAGGTGGAGAGGACCGTGTTCAGGGCGGAGAAGACGCTGCCGCTCAACTCTGAAGCCAGAAACACAGCAGAGGTGGAGGAGCTTCTTCTTCTTCTTCTTCTGTTTGCTCTCCTGCTTTAAACCTCAGTGTCTGTTTTTCTACCTTCAACCATTAACTCATTGACTGCCAGCCATTTTCAGAACAGAGTCGCATACTGCCAGTTTTTTGAGCATTTTGACTGATTTTTCAAGAGCCACAGAATAGTTTGTGCTATGACTATGTAAACACTGAACACACCAAAAGAAAGAGTAGACTCTCTTCTTTCACCAGGAAAAAGAATTTTGTTTCTACCTTATTCCGTTCTTCCTCGACGTGCGTCTCACCGGCGCCATTTCTCGCATAGCGAACCATTGCGCTTTTTTTTTATTTGCCTACAGTCTATGCTCATCTCCCATCAAAAGTGGCACTGCCACCTACAGGGTCAATTTATTAGTACATACTCTGTCTAGAAGCCTGATATTTACGGACAAGCTTTAGCAGATCGTCCCCCAGCCACTCGCGTTGAAAAACATAAAAGACGTCTATAGACGTCTTTGGCAGCCAATGAGTTAACCAACAAATTGTGTTCTCCTGTTTTAAAGCTCAACAAATGACGGTTTATTTTTTGTTGAGTTTACCTGCTATAGGTGTGTTTAGAAATTGAGATATTTTAAATGTGATATGAACTTCTTTTCTTTGTGTTGTTGAAGGTTGAAGATCTGAAGATCCAGCTGGCCGAGTCAGAGCGCCTCAGGCTGCAGCTGGAAGCTGAGCTCTCTTCACACAGACTCAGTCAGCAGCAGGTCTGAACAGACCAAACACTCCCTGTTTATTACCCACACTTATCTCATAGTTTTGTTTTGATGAGTGTTTATTGATTAACTCATTGGCTGCCAAAGACGTCTATAGACGTCAATTCAAATACAACCGTTTACTGCCAAAGACGTATCTAGACGTCTTTTATGTTTTTCAACGAGAGTGGCTGGGGGACGATCTGCTAAAGCTTGTCCGTAAATATCAGGCTTCTAGACAGAGTATGTACTAACAAATTGACCCTCTAGGGGGCAGTGCCACTTTTTATGGGAGATGAGCATAGACTGTAGGCAAATAAGAAAAAGGTAACGGTCGAGGAAGAACGGAATAAGGTAGAAACAAAAATTTTTTCCTGATAAAAGAAGAGAGTCTACTCTTTCTTTTGGTGTGTTCGCTGTTTACATAGTCATAGCACAAACTATTCTGTGGCTCTTGAAAAATCTGTCAAAATGCTCAAAAAACTCTGTCAGTATGGGACTCTCTGTTCTGAAAATGGCTGGCAGTCAATGAGTTAAGTGATTATTTAAGTTTGAATAAGTCTTATGATTCTGTCTTTTTCCATTTTTTTCCTCAGATGGTTCCTCCAGTTTGTTCTGAAGCAGATTTCTGCTCAGAAAACACAAATAAAACCTCAGTAAACGACTCAAAGGATTCACAGCAGACGACCACAGAGCAGCGCTTCATCGGAGAGGACGTGCTCTCCCTCAACTCGTCTTCATCGGCGCCTCGGCTGCCAAACGTCTGTTTGCAACATCTGGAGGACTTATTTCCTGAGACCGAAGTCTCATCGGCGTTGGACGGCCGGCATGAGCTGTGTCTGACCGACGGACCGGAGCTAAACTTCGATGCCTGGAACGGTTTGGGCCGAGAAGACTGTCAGCCGCTTTCCAGCTCGGACACAAAAACAAATAACGGCGAGCTCTTTACTCCCGAGAACCCCGCAGGGAAAGATGGCCGCTCCCTGACCGATGTGGCTCCAGACCTGCTGCTGGTGAAGACTCTCTCCAAAGAGCTGGAGCTCCTCTCCCACCAGAACGCAGCCCTCCACCAGCACAACCAGGAGGTGCTGAATCAGCTGACAGAGGCCGACCGCGAGATCGAACGGCTGAAAGCGGAGCTCAGCAGCAGGTACACCGAACCTCACCACCTGCCTGAGGTGGAACAGCAGGAAAAGATGAGATTGGAGGATCTGGAGAAGGAGCTGAGTCTGAGGAACCAGGAGCTGCTGGAGGCCCAGATGCTGATCATGTCCCTGAGGGAGAGCGAAGCTCTGACGCGGCTGAAAAACCTGACGGGGAGCGAAGGATCGGAGGACGAAAACAAGAACAACACGGAGAAAACGGACGGATACCTGCTGCGGTGCTTCGAGGCCACAGAGGCCAAGCTGACGGAGCTGGAGAGGCAGCTGGAGGAGTCACGGCTGAGCTGCAGGGAGCTCCAGCAAAAGAACGCAGAGCTGAAGGAGGCTGGCTCCTTTTGCTCCGAAAGTCTGGAAAAAAAACTCTGTGAGGAGTGTGAGAGAAGGCTGAACGGAGAGGGAAAGAACAGGAGTGTTTCCAGTGAAGACAGGACTGTTTCCAGTGAAGAAAAGATCCGGAAAGTCATCCAGGGGATGCTGCTGAGGCAGAGGGTTTTGGGGAAGCTGCTCGGAGTCATCGAAGGTTTGGGCTGCGAGAAAGAAACCGAGGAGGTGGAGGAGAGTCCCACTGTGGGGAGTCAGCTGAGGCGGGAGGAGGAAATGTGGAGGGAAACCCTCAACAGGCTGAGGGAGGAAACTCGATCGGACGACCCCGTGGACGCTCTCGCTGTGGAGGGAGCAGAGTGTCAGATGGTGGAGAGACAAATCTTACTGGCGGGTTATGATCTGCTTCTTCGTGCAGAGGAGGAGAGGGGGGGTGAGGGTGAGGGCGGCTGGTGGGGGTCTGAGGTGGAGCGTCTAAAAGCCGACACGCAGAGGAAAATCTCCCTGCTGCTCCGGATCTCCTCGCTCAGCGTCTCCGAACTGGACGGCCTCCGACCGGCAGCAGACAGGCTCTACCCGTCCCTCTCAGAGCCCCCCGGCCCCGCCCACATCCTCCACCCCACAGCCATAGAGACACTCTCCCGCTGTCGACTGAAGGAAAAGAGCGAGAGACCCCCCTGTCCCAAATGCGTCTCCCTCCTGGAGGAGAACCGGCAGCTAAAGGCAACATGGCGTCCCTCAAAGGATGTGATCTCCACATGCTGCCAGACGGAGGAGAGCCGGGACCCAGACTCTGAGGAGATGGAAATCCCTCCTTTAGGAGAGCACAAACTCTCAGAGGAAATGGATGAAGAAGGTGAAGTTTTGAGCTGGAGAGGAAAAGTGAAGGAGCTGGAGGAGCAGCTGTTTGTCTCAGAGGGCAAAACGAGAGAAGAGTTTGAAGAGAAGACGAGGGTTTTGCAGCTGCAGCATGAGGCAGAGATGGAGAAACTGAAGGTGGGTTGAGCAGAGAGGAGCTGTAGCATCTATCGCTCCACAGATGAAAAATACGTTTTTTATTTAGCCGATCCGTTTCAGTTAGTAGGAAACGGGTTAAAACGGATCGTGTGAAATCCTTCCTGCCTGTGGTCATCAATCTGTCCAACGCCTCACTCTGAGAGTCAGACTTAATTATTTACATTATCACCACCACTTATTTTCACCTATATATATATACACATATAGTTATTTATGTATACATTTATCTATATTCTATGTGGAATGTTGTGTACATATATATATATATATATATATACAGTGGGGGAAATAAGTATTTGACCCCTTGCTGATTTTGCAGGTTTGCCCACTTACAAAGAATGCAACGATCTATAACTTTAATCATATGTACATTCTAACAGAGAAAGACAGAATCCCAAAGAAAATTCCAGAAAATCACATCATATGAATTTATAAAAATTGATAAAAAAATAAGCATTCTTTGTGATTCTTTGGGATTCTGTCTTTCGTGGGAATTTATTTGTATATGTGTATTTGCCGTTGTTTTATTTATGGAGCGAGTAACAAAAATAATTTCCCTCTGGGATTATTAAAGTATTTCTGATTCTGATTGATCCCGATGCTTCCAGGTCACATGTGAGCGTGGGCTGACCTCCATGGAGGAGTCCCTCCTGAAGGTGGTGGATGAGCTACAGCGTCTCCACCTACAGGAGCTGGAGTTCCTCCGGGGGGAGAAAGAGCGGCTGCTGGAGGAGGAGGCCGCCGCCACCGCCATCGGTGCGTAACCGCGCAGAGCCCGGGTCAGCGTTTTTCACAGAAACGCTCACCAGACGAACTCCCTCTTCTCTTTTTTTTCAGCTCTGGAAGCCTTCAGGAACGCCCACCGAGTGGAGCTGCAGAGGGAGGTCCAGAGGAGCAGCAGCTATGGGAACGCACAGATGGAGGACGTCCACAGACAACACAGGTAGCCCAGGAACCACCTCCACAGGTGAACCACCTCACAGGTGAACCACCTCACAGGTGAACCACCTCCACAGGTGAACCACCTGCACAGGTGAACCTCCTCCACAGGTGATTCACCTCCACAGGTGAACCACCTCCACAGGTGAACCTCCTCCACAGGTGAACCACCTCCACAGGTGGGCTCTGGAGTCAGGGTGGGAAATGACCGATTTATTGCACGCTTTATTGTCTGGGCGTGAGAAAATAAAAGCTGTCAGCCCGTCGTGCTCTCAGCTCCGTGGGGTCGGACGGGTTGGAAAATTACGTTTTTATATCAAATACATGCTAAATAAACAGGGAATCAACGTGGTTGCACCGCCAAGCGAGAGGAACTGAAAACATTCCACCTGAATTTCACATTGGTTGGATGCAGTTTGGGGTAGATTTGTAGATTATTTTACACATGAAGATTTCTGTTTTGTTTGCAGGGAGGAGCTGGACTCTTTCCAGCGGGAGCTGGATGCTTTATCGCAGCAGTTCTCTCTCAGATGTCTGGAGAACAGGCATCTGGTCCAGGCTCTGGACGCCGAGAGGAAAGCCTTGTGTCAGTGCCAGCTGGAAAACCAGGACCTGAGGACCAGAAACCAGGTGACAGACCCAGTCCAGCCATTCTCTATGGTCCCAATAATCCCCAGTATTTGTCAGAAATCTAAAATCTGGATCCAAAGACTTAGTCTGGGTGCTTTTCCAGTAATATTAATAGAAATCGGGGGATTTGTTTTGGGTTTCTGGTTTTGCCCCCAAGCTCCAAGTCCCACAAACGCTACTTTTTTGTCACATCTGTTCTTAAAAATGTTGCTCCAAATGTTGCTTATTAGTGGCCTCTGCTTGGAAAGGAGAGTGATGCATTTGTTTTTACATTAGAAGCATTAGCTATTGGTGTCACACCCACAAACGGAAAGAAACGATCACAGTGTCACATTCATACGGAGAAATAGGACGATGCTCAGACTGTTTATTGTCTTTTTCTGATCTCTTACTGATGATGTCATTCCACTTCCTGCTGAGGCTTTGAAAGAGGCCCGTTTTTGCAGGAAATGAAGTTGCATTCTAAAAAAATATCCGAAACCCCTAAAAGAGTGACTAAAGCTGGGATGTGAGTCTCTGGGTGAACACATGGAAACCTGAATGTTGGTGTTTTTGTGCCTTCCAGGAGCTGAGCGGCCACCTGGCTGCAGAGATCACCAGACTGTGTTCGCTGGCCAAACGGGATGAGCTGCCCCTCAGTCCGGGAATGGACGCCTTCGAGATGGCGGTGGGTCTGTCCTCTGACACTGGATTCACTACACTGGATTCATTACATCATTCATCACATCAAACATAAACTAATATTTCTAAATGTGTATGATGTGGACTGTGTGCAGCTTTAATCCTCCTCAGTAAACATATCAGGTTAGCTCAGATGTCTAAATGTTTTAGTTGAAATGTGGCCAGTTTAAAGTGAAGCTGTTATTTCAGATCACACTGCGAGTGAAGGAGTCTGAGGTCCAGTGTCTGAAGCAGGAGATCAAGAGTCTGAGGGACGACCTGCAGTCGGCACTACAGGTGAGCAACTCTTTTGTAAAAACAACACGTCAGCTGCTGCTCGATGGTGATTGGTGATGAAACCTGTTCCCGTTTCACGGCAGGACAAGAGGAACGCCTCAAAGAAATACACAGACGTAAACACGGAGCTGAGCAGCGTCAGAGCCAAAGCGGACCGGGAGGCCGAGGAGCTGAGAGAGAACCTGAGGCTGGCTCATCACGCTCTGAGAGAGACTTCTCCATGACTCCTCATTATGTCCTATTTGTGATAAAGACACCTGTTTGTATTTAACAATTACTGCCATTATGCATCCTATCAGTTGTAAGTTATTTGATACCCGTCACAGTTTGTATGACCCTGTTTTAAGGCAAATGAATATTTTAAATTAAAACGTTTTTTTTTTGTTGCAAATAATTCTACTTAACTTATTTTGATATTAACTTTTCTTTTTATCAATTAAAGTGGCTCTATGAAAACCATCTGTCTCCTTCCCTTTGATGAAACTGCGTCAGGTTCCACCTTAAAAAAAAACAAACAAATAAAAGTAAAAAAGATATATATTTTTTTCTTCAGTCTGGTCAGGTGGATTTAACCATATTTAAGGCCGTGTTAATGGAGGCACAAACAGGGTTGCCCCTGGCTGCTGTTGGCCTCAAGTTTCAACACAAACAACTGGCGAATTTCGGGAAGATGACTCATCCGTTAAACAGCATTTTAATCTCTTTAAATTCCAATAACGAAATGTAATTTCACACCAAACTATTTTGTAATAAAAATTTACGTAATTATTCAAATGATTTGTCCCCATTTATAAGATGCACTTTTCAGTTTACCGTTCAAACTCCTGTTTATTGAAAGACTGTAAAATATCTGTGGCTGCCAACAAGCTTTAGAAATTCGGCGTCGTGTGTTTTCTTTTACTTAAATCGCTTAGAAACGGACTAAAACCACCATTGACGGTGGCCACAACCGTTAGGCCCTGACGGTTATCAGCCGTTGCCTAGGAACCGCTCCCAACTGGTATTTACTCTGAAGGCGCGTGCCTCACTTCCGGTGTCGCCGTCGTTTGCTCGGTGTCAATTGACTGTGAATGATAAAGGTGTCCATGATGACAACTTTAAAATACTAACAGCAAGTAGGAGGTTTTGACTCTACCTGTTGGATCTACGTCATATAAAATGCCCGCGTGCGAAACCTTCGTCGAGTGTCACCTCCGTTCACGCGCGGCTAACGTCAGCTAGCTAGCTGCCCAGCTAGCATGAACTCGCGCGGCCGCAGCTTTTGTTTACATCCACCGCGTATGATGATGATGACGATGGGCCTGGAGAGGCGTGTTAGCTAACCCCGCTACCCGAGCCAGTCCCAGGAAAGGTGTCACCCGCCTGCCCGCTCTGTCAGGACCGGGGAGGTCCCCCCTAACCGCCGCCACCTGACGGGTAAGATGACCAACGGCTGTTAACCGTCACGGTAATCATTCCATGGTGGCTCACATCGGGCGTCCATCACTCAGGATCCAAACAGGCCTACCTGTTAGAAACGGGTCTGACAAAACCCATCAGATGGATTATTCAGGCGTTTAAAGGTTTTCTTTAAGCTTCACACGTCTTCTTTTTTGTGTTTAAACTAATCACACTATTCTGTACAAGTTTCTTTAAACACAATGTTTAAGCTTACTGACAAATAAACACCTAAACTGAACCTTAGTATTGATTATTTAACATGTTTGTTAAATAAACATTGCACACATCTAAGTAACCTGTTCCACTCTCCTTCAGGTTCCTCTGGTTTGAATTAACTAAATAAAGTACAACAGACGTGCTGACAAAGGTATAAAGGTTTACATTTAATTGACTCCCGTCCTGATCGTGTAAAAATAGCACCAAAAAATTTCAATGCCATGTTTTAATTAATAACTAAATATACAGCTTATTACTAAAGTTTAGCTGCTTTTTTATTCCAGATAAATAAGTAGTCTTTTTATGTATGTGGTGGGTTTTAGTAGGAAATAAGAAGAAATTTACATTTTAGGATACATTTTGGGTCCTGTGATAGAAAAGAGAGTGGCTTCAATATTTATTGGAAAGTCTGATACCTTTTTATTTGTCAAAATAACATAGATCTTTATTCAGATGTAGTCTAAATGTATCTATAGCTTTAAACAGGGTTAAAATGACTACCTTTTAGTCACATTCAGATTATAATTACATCTTTTTTTGTTTGTTTTAATTTGTTTTATCTCTGCAGTACAGTTCATTGATTGTAGGATAACCATTCCCATTTTCCAACTGTTTTTGGTTTGTGGTTTGTTATCTGATTTGAATTAAAAACCTCCTGATGAATAGCTTGTTGTTGCTGATACTTCACAGATTGAACCAAGAGTTAAAAGTACAAACTTAAAACAAAGTCTCCACGATCTGTGGGGTAGTCCATCTCAGAATACTTTATACATGGACCTGGCCCACAGGGAGCCTTTTTGTCTTTAAGACGTGAAGATATGCAGGAAATCCTCCTTTTTATGAATCGTTGTCGGGAGAAGCGGATAAAACATTTAAGGTTTGTTTAGTAGTTTAAGGTTGGTTTAGAAGTTAGCCTTACACGTGGCTCTCTACACACTTTAGTGAACTAGTTTCAGTGTTTTTTTTGTTTTTTTTATTTTTTTTTAATTCATTTGTTTATTTGATAGGGACAAGTATGTTTCATGAAACATGTCACACACTACAACATTTTGGCTAAGGCTAATTCTCAATGCCTCTCTCCCATCAAAAGTGCCACTTTTGATGGGAGATGAGCATAGACTGTAGGCAAATAAGAAAAAACGCAATGGTTCGCTATGCGAAAAATGGCGCCGGTGAGACGCACGTCGAGGAAGAACGGAATAAGGTAGAAACAAATGTTTTTTTCCTGATGAAAAAAGAGAGTCTACTCTTTCTTTTGGTGTGTTCGGTGTTTACATAGTCATAGCACAAACTATTCTGTGGCTCTTGAAAAATCAGTGAAAATGCTCAAAAAACTCTGGCAGTATGGGACTCTCTGTTCTGAAAATGGCTGCCAGTCAATGAGTTAAAGTATTCTTCTTCTTCTTTTTCTTCTTCTTCTTGAATGTGTCTCCGTGTGCTGCTCAGTGATGGAAGTCTCCCCTCAGGACCCGCCCCTCATGGCCATGGACCTGTCTAAGACCTACGCCCCCCTGACCCCCGAGGTCCTGGACCTGGGAAAGAGGCCGGAGTGGTACCACCGCCCCTCGCCGTTCCGGGCCTCCTCTTCCTCCTTCAGCCCGGCGCCGCCCGCCCCCCCGCCGCCGCCCCCCGACCCGCTGGGCGCCGCCGGCTACATCAACCCCGCGCTGGACCTGGACCTCTATCGCCACGGCAACCACCACCTGTGGCACGCCGCCGGTTTCTACGGCGCCGACCAGGGCGGCGTCCCGGTGCCGGAGAGCAGCGGCGGCGAGGAAGAGGAGGAGGAGGAGGAGGAGGAGAGCGAGGACAGCGGCGAGGACGTCATCTTCCTGGTTTCCGCGGCGAAGGAGCCGCTGCTGTGCGGCGCCTTCCTGCAGGACGGCGTGCGGCGCCTGGAAGATGGCGGCGGCGGCGGCGGCGGCTGCTACCTGCTGAGCTCGCCCAGCCCCGACAGCTCGTACTCGGACGAGTCCTCCGGAAGCTCGCTGGACATCCCGGTGCACCACGCCCGGCCCGTCGTGCTGCTGTCCGACCTCAACGTGTACGGGAACGCCGCCGACTACGGGAACGCCGCCGACTACGGGAACGCCGCCGACTACGGGAACGCCGCTGACTCGGCCGTGGACGTCTCCAGCGACGACAGCGACATCATCGAGATGGCGGCAAACGACGTAGACGACGGCGAGGACGATCCCGACCACGACCGGACGCCGCCATCGGGGATCCGGCGCAGCTCCCGGATCCGGAACGCCACGCCGGAGAGGCCCCGCCTCCGCGGCGCCGCACGCCACAGCCTGAAGCGGCGAGCAAAGAGCGAGGCGGTGGGAATCTACAACGAGAGCTGCGACTCCGAGGACCTGATGGAGTACGCGCTGCAGCTGTCCGGCTCCCAGGAGCCGCGCACGCCGCCGGGCGCCGCCGGGCGCCACGGCAACTCGGAGGAGTCGGAGGCCGACGCCCACCGGGCCCGCCGGGCGCCACGGCAACCGGAGGCGCCTACGGACGCCGCCAGTCCCCAGCAGACTCAGCCCACGCCAGTGGAAAAGGCGAGGAAACCCGAACAGAAACGGAAACCCGATCAGAAACCCGGCGGCGGCGTGCCGGCGCGGCGCCGCCAGAAGCCGGCGGCGGCGAGGAGGAAGAGGCGGCGGCGCCTGAACGCGGGCGCCGGCGCCCCGTTTCCCCCCCGAGAGCCGGAGATCGCGCTGAAATACGCCGCGGAGCGCCGGAGGGAGCGGCGCCCGGCGGCGGCGGGATTCTGCCCGTTCGTTCACGTGGAGCGCCGGATGTGCCGCGTGGTCAACTACCAGGAGGACGCCGCCGCCCCCCCGACGCCGCCGCCGGCGTGCGGGTTCCTGCCCGGATCCTCCTGCTTCCGATTGGGCCGAACCCGCCCCGACGGCGTTCCCAACGGCGTTCCCGACGGCGGCGTTCCCGACAGCGTTCCCGAGGCCCCACGCTGCTGCCTGTGCGGCCAAACGGCGAACGCCACGGGTCTGGGAGACCTCCACGGGCCGTA